ATTTGAAAAAAAAAAAAGTAAAAGATTGGTTCAGTTAAATAATCTTTACAGTTCCACCCAGCTTTGAAGTTCATGGTTCGGGGTTTATGGGTGAAGTGAGTCTCCTCTGCCACACCTGTCTTCCTTCCAGCACTGCCCTGCTTTGTCCTCCCTAGAAAGTGGGCAAGTATATGTGTGTGCACACTCCCTGCTCAGAGTCTGGTTGCACTGAGGGGTCCTGTCCAACTCACATGTGACATCAGTTGAAGAGCCAGTTCGGTGTCTTAAATTTTGGGTTATTTTCTTTCTCTTATTTGTAATCACTTAGTTTTTAAAATCTTTTAAAATCATTTTTTATTTTACTTTAAGTTCCGGGATGCATGTGCAGGATGTGCAGGTTTGTTGCATAGGGAAATGTGTGCCATGGTGGTTTCCTGCATCTATCATCCCAACATCTACGTATTAAGCCCACATGCATTAGCTCTTTATCCTGACGCTTTCCCTTCCCCTGCCACAGGCCTCGGTGTGTGTTCTTTCCCTCCCTGTGTCCCTGTGTTCTTATTGTTCACCTCCCACTTACAAGTGTTATCACTTGTTTTTAAGAGCTTATTGTATCAGTTTGCTGTTGTTGTTTGTTTGTTTGTTTGTTTTGAGACACGGTCTCACTCTGTCCCCCAGGTTGGAGCGCAGTGGCATGATCTTGGCTCACTACAGCCTCCACCTCCTGGGTTCAAGCGATTCTTGTACCTCAGCTTCCCGAGTAGCTGGGAATACAGGCATGCACCGCCAAGCCCAGCTAATTTTTGTATTCTTAGTAGAGACCTCAAGTGATTCCCCTGCTTTAGACTCCCAAAGTGCTGGGATTACAGGTATGAGCCATCACGCCCCACCATTAAGGGCTTATTTTGAATGCAATTATAAAGTTTTCTTTGGAACTGATGGAACTCCCTTCTTTTCATTAGCTAGCCAAATTCCCATGATTCCAGAACAAATATACACAGTTTCAAAGGACAGATATTTAGGCAAATAATTTCTCTCTATCTCTAGCATCTTACCCAGTGTCTATGAAGTAGCTGGCATCCAATGAAAGCTAGTTGAAGGAATGAATGTTCCATACGCAGTCATAAAGGTAATACCCTAAACTTTGGTTTAACAGTTGATCAATGAAACATTCTCCTCCCACTCCTTAGAAGAGTACACATTATCTTATGGGGCTAAAGAGTGGATCTGAAATGATCTCCTCCTAAAGGAACTCAGAAGGAGAAAGTAGAACCACTGTCTTCTATGGATTTTATTTTAGAAAAAAAAGGATAGAAATTAGCTTATAAGTTTCTTCTAATAAATCAATCCTTTTTCTCCTCCTAAACTTATAATTATGAAGGGAAGTATAATAACATTTTCCTGCAAAGAGATTTAGTAATTCTGGCAGTACTTCATTAATCACTTAATCAGTGTTCAAGCAGAACTGATGTCCTTGACATGTATAATCAATCTTGATTCCTCCCACATTTGATTTTCATCTTTTAAAAAATCCAGCAACTACACACACTAAGGATTGGTGGCTTATTTTCACATTACAGTTTTGTTAGAGACATTATGTGCATATAATAACAATCAGAATATTGATACCTATATTAAGTCTCCTCATAGTCTGTTTGAAAGTAATTGTTTTCTCTTCAGTGAATTTATGGAGATTAACAGTGCCAGGATCATATTCTATTATAACTTAATGGAAAAATGGGCTCAAGTCATTTTTTAACTTAGTATATTTGGAGGCAGCATGTTGATTATTATTGGTGAACCAGAGCTACTTGCCTATGGCAGATTCTGAAGAACTTTTCTAAAGCTATTTCCTAAATGCAGCTGGCATGGAAATATAAGTAGCACCCCAAAATTAAGCAGCAATGGATTAGGTGTGTCTAATATGTTCTGCTTTGGAAAGGTAATTTTATGATTGCTAGTGTGATACAGAAGTTCCAATTTCTGCCACTCTTTTTCTCTTAACACTTATTAATTTGGAAGTTTAAAAGCATTATTGGCCAGGCATGGTGGCTCACACCTGTAGTCCCAGCACTTTGGGAGGCCAAGGTGGGAGGACTGCTTGAGCCCAGGAGTTTGGAGACCATCCTGGGCAATATATTGAGATCCCGTCTCTACCAAAAACAAACAAACAAAAAATTAGCCAGGCATGGTGGTACACACCTGTAATCCCAGCTACTCAGGAGGCTGAGTTGGGAGGATCAGTTGAGCCTGGGAGGCCACGGCCTCAGTGAGCGGTGACAGTGCCACTGCACCCAGCCTGGGTTACTAGAGCAAGACCTTTTTTCAAACCCCCCGCCCCACACAATATTTATTCACCCCAAATGTTAGGTTTGTAATTTTCATGTCCACCTATTCACAGACCACCCGTTCCCCCCATCTACACACTGCTTGTCAACACCATGTATTTTTCTCTTTCCTATTAAAAAACCTACAGTGTAGACTTTACTGGTGGGTAATGCAGAAAATCAACAGATGAAGGCTCTTAATTCATCATTGCACACATATTTGAACAAATGAGACAAAGATTTTGTTATCTTGTTGTTTGGAGAGTATTTTTCCTCCATAAAAGGTGATAGCGATTGTTTAAAAAAAAGCGATAGCATTGTTTAAAACTAAAATGTCTGCGCCCACTGTGTGCTGCAGAAACTGCAGTAAAAATAAGCTTTTGTGCTAACAGTGTAAGAGAAGAAGCCTTTGAGGGATGCTGAGATTAGCACTCTGTAGGTTCAACCAGGTCTGCAGCTGGATCTATAGACCAAGAATCAGGAAGTCAGAGGGATAAAGTAATAATGATAGCTCCCATTTCCTAAGGCTTTTCATGGTAGTATGTGGTGTGCTTTTCATGGGTTATTCAATGGAATATCCTTAACATCCCTAAGAGGTGAGTACCATACATAGTCCCAGTTCAAGGAGGAAAGACGAGGCTCGCTGAGATGGAGCAATCTGCCCAAAGTTACACAGCGGGTCCGTGATGGTTCTACGTGACTCCAGAGCTCTCAACCACTAGCCAGGTCATCTATATACCTATCTGAGGTGTATAAACTGAGGCACAGTCAGTACGTTGCAGAGCTTATAATACATTTGAACATATATATTAGGTAGACGCTGAACTACAAAACCATTATAGTAAAATAATTATCCTTTGATGAAAAATTAATGAACTCTAGGTTAACTAGAAGGTAATTAGTAGGTTACAACAGAAATTAAGGTGAACATTCTACCCAGGCATGAAAAGGTGAAAAGGAGAGTTGGACAGAAGGTTAATTATCGGACTCCATGTCACATTGATGAGAGGTGGATTTGATTTTGAATCACTATTGCTAATAACCATGCAGACAAGGCCCTCATTAGGAAAACAAATTTCCTGATCTAAATGAAATCTCCCTAAAACCATTCATTTTCCCTACCCCACCCCCTCTCTTTTACTCTGATGTACGGTGATCAAAGCAATTCTATGACAACTAATTCAACTCCTCAAATCTATGGCTATAAGTAAGGTCATCAATTATTAAATGAGGTATAGCATTTATTAATACATTGACAATCTTTTTGAAACAGAATCTTAAGTGATTTGGTAACTGTAAATCAGTTCTCCTCAGGCTGATTAACTTTGGAGAAACCAAAAGAACATTTACCAGAATGAAGCATTGTTCCCTCGTGGATCTGTGAGAAGACCTGTCCTGCACTGTCCCAAACCTCTCCAAGGCCTCTGCCTGTACCTGTTCTGCCCTCCATGACACAACCCACCCTAAACCCCAGACATTCGAGGGAACCCTATCATGTCCCTTCAGGGTTTTGAAAAAATAGACAGGAAGTAAAATAGAAAAGGGGAACCCAGCTACTGGGAGAATAAAAGAGTGCCAGGGCCTGACCAGACATGACCGAGGTGACTTCAGCAGCCAAAGGCCGAAGCAGCAGCAGCTGGTGTATTTCATCAACAGCAAACACTGACTGAATTTCCATCATGTGCGCAACACGCTCCGTGCTTAGACCAAAGAAATGAGACTCGGTTTCCATCTTCAAAAAGCCTGAGAGAACACAAGTTCATACTAACTGTTGAGTACTAGGTGCCTTCCAGGCCCGCAACTTGGGTTAAGTCAGGTAGCAGGCTGGCAGCTAACATGTATTCCCCGGCTGGGTCCCACCAGCTTTTCCATAGGAAACTCACCCAAATCCCTTCTTCCAGCTCCAGGAAGGAGAGCTCAGGGGCATATCACAAAATGCCTACTTTCTCCAACCGTCCATGTGGCCTCTGGTTTCTGCCACGGTAATGGTGGTCCATCACCTCTCGTGTTTCGAGGTGTGGTGCCATAGCTAGTGGCCTGGGCATCTACCTGCTTCTGCCAGCCTCACCCAGCAAGCCGTCTCCTGCTAAGAGTCTATCCCCAGAGCAAGAGGTCCCCGCCTCCACCCCTGTACTGCTGAGAAGCCCTGTGTTCTGACCAGCATTGAATCCTGCATCAGATCACAAAGCAGCATTTCACTGATAGCCTTTCAGTTTTCTACAGGAACTTGATGGTAGAGAGTGTCATTCAGTGGTTCTTGATTCAGCAGCTGTGTCCCTAACATTCAGGCATTTGTCTGAGACAGTGTTGTCCCCTCCATGGGCCCCCAGTGTCCCTCCCCAGGAGCCCTGAGTATTATTACCAATCCCCCTCTCTAACCAATTGTGTGAGCGCACCTTCTCTGTCAGTAACAGACCCGAGTGGATTGACAGGTAACCCTTGTTCCTATATGGCCAATGAGGTCTTAGATCAGAGCTCTCCCATTAGCTCCATAAGCCCTTTTATGCTTCCCAAGAAACTCCTTTGTTTTATGGAAATAAAGCCCTTCAGATGGACCCTGCCCAACAACGCCAGATCTGTGGGAAATGACCGGCAACTGTGGCATATCGCACTTAGATATGCACACTGAGATCCTCATGATGCTAGTAAATTATATATGAAAATTTCATGCCAGGTCTTTGATTTTTGTTTCAGATAAAGGGATATTTATTATCCAAAGTGAGAGTCTGAAGAAATGCATTCAAGCAGGTAAATCGGTACTGACCCTGGAGAACTGCAAGCAAGCAAACAAGCACATGCTGTGGAAATGGGTTTCAAACCATGGCCTCTTTAACATAGGAGGCAGCGGTTGCCTGGGCCTGAATTTCTCTGCCCCAGAGCAGCCCTTAAGCTTATACGAATGTGACTCCACCCTCGTTTCCTTGCGGTGGCGCTGTAACAGGAAGATGATCACCGGCCCGCTGCAGTACTCCGTCCAGGTGGCGCATGACAACACAGTGGTGGCCTCACGGAAGTATTTTCATAAGTGGATTTCTTATGTGTCAGGTGGTGGAGACATTTGTGAATATCTACACAAAGGTAAAAATAATTTAAAGAAGCACTCAGGGAATAGTATTTTTTTAAAGTTTGCCTATAAGTAAAGATTTGTAAAGCGTTATGTGAAAGAAGTACACTAAGCCTGGACCCTCAGGGGACTTCTGTTAAATACATTTTAGTTGCTTCCTTGCTTATGGTAAAAGGGTTATGAGAGTCTCAGAATGGACATACTACATTCTACTAAAGAAGCAGAACTTCTCCGAATTTAAAGGTATTGGGAGGAAAAACATTCAACTGACTCTGGGAATCAATGGAAAGGAGGAGAAAGAACAAGCAGACAGGAGAGAGAGAGAAAAGGAAGGTGGAGGGAAAAGATATTTGAAGACTTTTGTCATGACAAATATGATAACTTCTCCTCCCCTGCCGCCATTTCTCTTATTGTAAAAACGCATCCCCACCTATGGAGGTATGTATCCAGGGCACCTCCAATGCCCCCTGATGCTGGCTGGCATTCATGTGATAATCATGTTGCAAGTCACTTGAAGATAAATGACAGACTGTTGTCAGGGGTTATTTGGTGTGTGCCAAGCATGGTCAGGGGGGAAGCATGGTTTAGAGGGGGATTTCATTTTCTATGGTTATCTTTGTCATTTCTAAACAGAAAAAAAAATAAAGAAAGTTACATAGTTAAATTCTAAAATCTCAAACCTGTCCCTCAGGGTTTGTTTGGTAGCTCACTCTATCCAACCATCCATCTATCGATCCATCCATCCATCCATTCATCCCACATTTTTATATAACACTGCTGACAAATCCACCCCATATTGATCAGGCACTGGGCTAGGCACCTGGTTTACAGAGGCCCACAGGACAAGCGGAGTCCCTCCCCTTGTGGTGCTCTGTAGAGTTATGCTTTCACAAGAGCATATGTTCCTAAGAATTCTGTACAGTCCTGGGAAGCAGAGCAAGGAACTCCTAAAGAAGAAATGATTAAAAAGAGACAGAGCCAAGGACCAGGCATTTTCAGGGCTCACTAAAATAAAGCTAGTGCTGCAAATCAGCACTCTGAATAATCTACAGTTCTGAAGAGGAACTTGCTATTTTGCTTTATGTTAGCTTTTTTAGCCACATACCCACATTCATGGTGCACGCAGGAGAAGATTCTAGAGAACATATGCTTCTGAGTAGAAGGAAGGGGACTGAAAGAAAAGGGCATGTCCTGAAATACCTACGGTTCCTAAGTAGCCTTAACTGCTAAGGCTGGTGACTGGTGACATGTCGTGAGCTCAGGTCACCCCTGTCAGTTGTGGGAAAGAGGTGAGGCTCTCCACAGCTAGTCCTTTTGCCCCAGGACCTACCACTGGCAACCCCAGTTAAGTCGTGAAAAGTTTTTGTTGATTCCTGATTAAGGCCAAGAATGACCAAGTGTTGCAAAACCCTGAGAAGGCAGCCAGCAGGCTACGTCTGCATGATCGTCTCACTCTAGATCATTGTAGAAGTCACCCAGTCAGCTGTCTGGCTTCACCCTCTCCCCATGTTGGCTGTTTGCCCCCTTGCACCCTCAGTGATTCTTTAAAAATGGAAATCTGAACCTGTCACTTTTCCATTTGAAATGTGCAAGAGACTTGCCCCCACCCTCAGAGTAGAGGCCAAAGCCCACAGTATGGCAGGGAGACAGCCCTATGTGCGCTGGCACTCCAGTACATCCCTGGTTCCCCTTCCCAGAGGGCCTCCTTCCTCTTCTTCATTCTCCCACACCTGTTCTTGTCTCAGGTTCTTTTTACTTGCCCTTCCTTCTGCTGGATCAACTCTTGTCTAAAGACCTGCACTCTCGGGTCACCCAGTTCCTATTCAGAGAGGCCTTTCACTGCCCATCCTGTCCAAAGTAGTGCCCTGTGCTCCTCCATCCCGTCTCTCCCTCTCTCTCTTTCTCTCTGTCTCTCCCTCTGTCTCATGCATACACACATACACACACACACGCACACACACACCCCACTCTGTCTTCTCATCCTATTTATTTTTCATCATGGCACTTTTCACTACCTGCAATGATACTGTATGTTTACTTGTATATTTGCTTTCTTTTTCTCTCTCCTTGCTAGAATAGAAGTTCCACATGAAGGAACTTATGCTGGTTTGTTCACTGTTGTATCCCCAGTACTGAGTACACTAAATGTTCAATAAATAGTTATTGAATGAGTAAATTAATAAATGTCTATGAATCTATTGAGCCTTAGATGCTAATGGCTGATGTATTTGGGGACTGGAAGGTATTATGAAGTTAAATCTGCATTAAAGTTTCCTTCTCATCCATCCACAAGTATGAATGTTACTGTGGCAGCTCACTATAGTAAGTAAACAAGTAGATAAATGCGTAAGCAAACCATGTATCAGCACTTCCTCTGAGCCCAGCTCTTGGTCTCACACTTCTACTGACAGGAGACAGTGAGGACCTGAGGGCTCACTCTGTTGTAGTGAGTATCTGCCCCTAAGAGGGTTTCAGTCCATAAAAAATGCTTTTGATGTATAGCAGTTTCCAAAGGTAAAGCTGACATCATACATGTCTGACTTTGTACATTTCTTTCTCCTAGATTTGCACACAATCAAAGGGAACACCCATGGGATGCCGTGTATGTTTCCCTTCCAGTATAACCATCAGTGGCATCATGAGTGTACCCGTGAAGGTCGGGAAGATGACTTACTGTGGTGTGCCACGACAAGCCGTTATGAAAGAGATGAAAAGTGGGGATTTTGCCCTGATCCCAGTAAGAATAAATTTTGTCTTCTCTATATGTCATGAATGAATCAAAGAGGATTAGAAAGTTATCTGTATCTAAACAAAAGCACTGGGATTGATATACTGAAGTCTGAATAAGCACCCTGATGCTATTAATTCAGATTTTGAATGGGGTTTTTGTTTTTGCGTTGAAAAGACAACTCTAATGTATATTCTTTTTGCCATACATTCAAGAGATGTTAATTAGCCATTCTTCATTAAGCTCAGTGCATAATGATGTTTTAACCCAAATTAAATTATAATACTCTGCGATCTCATTGATCCCAGCTTCTTGGCTGGATACTTCAAAACAAAACTGATTGCATATAAAACCCAGTTAGCCTTTCAATCCACTACCTCTTATGAGCTGCCTTAATTTCTCCACATCCAGGCTGCTTGTCTTGTCCATTGTCAAGTCCAGGCACCAGCTGGCCTCTTGATGATCTTTCTAAAATCGCAATTGCCCTCATTATTTCTTGACAGTGGATTCTTGTCTTGACTCCCTTTCCTTACTACTTACCTTCTGGATATAACCTCATTTTTTTTTCTTTTCTTATCTTGATTTTCAAAGGTCAATGGCAGTGGCAATGTTCTAACTTTTTTTTCAGTTAGTGCTTTATTATTTTATTTTATTTTTATTTAGCTGAAAAGTTTCCAGTTGTTCTCAAGTATTAGAGAATATTTATATATGCCTCCTACTTTCTATATTCAATTTCCTTTCCCGTGGTTTCTGTGAGTCAGAGGGTACAGCTCTTACAGTCTTCATCTCCCATGCCTGCCTCCCCTCCGCATACATAAAATGCAACAAATAAATTTGAAGCAAAAGCAAATTGAAGAGATTAACTCCAAATAATCTGATTTATAAAGTATCTGTAGAATTGTTTTCTAATCCAAGAGCTAGTATGGCTTAGTAAATAAGAAAGTATAAACTTTGAAATAATCAGACAGGTCAAGATTGGAGTCCTGCTTCTTCCCAACAATGAAATTTTGGGAAGCTCTCTCCATCTTTCTGAGTCTCAGTTTCCTCAGTCATAAAATGTAGATAATAGCAGTACCTATTAGGATTATTGTGCAATTCAATTAGATGAAGCATTCAAGGCACTTTTCATAATGTCTGGCACACAGTAAGCACCCACAAGGGCTAACCATCGTGGCCAGCAGCAGCAGCAACAATAGCAGCAGCAGCATCAAACCCAATTTATCTTTTCAGCATACACTTCTGAATCCACGATTTCTCCTCTCTGTTGTCAGTCAACAAGCCCTAAGCTAGGCATAGGGGTGAATGCCAAGAGTTTTAGGACTTAAGATCTTCCCTTTAAGGAACTTGGCATCTAGAGAGAAGACAGGACAGACAGGTTTGCTGTATGCCAGAAAATGCAGGCTGTATTTGAGACAATGCCCTAGAATCACCTGGGAGATAGTTTAAATGCATATCCTGGCCCATCTTCCAGAGATGCAGTGGGAGCAGTATGTAAAACCCAAACATCTGCATTTTTGAGAAGTGCCCCAGGTGACCCTGGTGCAGATAATTCATCATCAAGCAATTAATAATATGGAGATAATTATATGCAATATACATCTATATACAGGGATAATATCAATACATTTAACAGCCAATATGGTATGGGCTATTGGTCAATCAATAGTGGAGACCTTAGTGTGGGGTTGGGAATTCCAGAGGCCCTCTGCTGATATTAACCCCTTAGCTGCTGGAATGCAGGAGTAGGGTACAGGGAAGGCTGAGGCAGCAGTGGGTAATAGAGAAGCAGAGAACAGTGACTATTCACCAACCAGCATGAAAGCATTTCATTATTTTATAACTGTCAGATCACCAGCCTTCTCTATCTGAATCTAAATGTATGCATGTAGGTGTGTATGCATGTAATCCCTACACTCCTTGGATTCCTGAACCAGATGTCATGTTATTTTTATTATTGTCATTTTGTTTGCATCATGTTTTCTCTTTCCTTTTCCATCCCCAATAGAGGTCATTGTTAAAACCAAATAAATGAATCAATACTAATAAAGTTAACACATGCTTCACTTGGCTCTAATACTAGGGACTTAAAAAAAAAAAAAAAAAGCTACAACATTCTCCTTAAGGTTCTGAAAAGAACCCCGCCACCATCCTCTGTTGCTTATAGCCAATGATAGTTTCCCAGTGGAAGCCTGGGTTCAGTGATGCTCTGGGCTTTTCATTCCCCAGTCTATCTATTTGTTCAGCCTCCTACAGCTCAGAAACTTCCTCTGCTTGACAGCCTGCCAGATTCCAGCTCTCCTGACCTTTACCACAACCAGCAGAGAGCATGTTTATTTGTTCAGTGCCAGTTTTCTTCCTTTCTCGTTACTTTTGGCTCCCAGTAGCCAATATAACTCAAAATGACATGTCAGAGGTTGAAACCTGAGCAAGCCGATGGCTCTTTCCATGGGGTCAACAAGTGGATAGGACAGAGAAGAGTGAGTGGAATAAAGTAAAGGTCTGTACTACTGTATCTCATCCTTCTTATGTGAGAGTTTTTTTTAAATATCTCAGTGTAAAATGATGCTACCTTTTTTTTAAAAAAGTTGATTGTAAGTGAGCAAAATTTAAATGTAGTATTCATAAACACATACACAAATATACTAGCAGTGAAAGATGTAATAAAACATCTTCAGCAATAAGGATGACATACAGGAATCTCTCTGGATTTGTTTAGTGGCAATTATGGGCCATTCTAGGTCTTTCTTGGTTGTGTGCCTTACGCAGCTGCAGAACCACACTTAGTTAATTTGAGATGTTTTTACAATACCAACCTGTGAAATGATATGGTTGCCCTTGAACCTTATTTTTATATAATTCTATAATAAAGCAGATTTAGGCTGGGCACAGTGACTCACACCTGTAATCCCAGCACTTTGGGAGGCCGAGGTGGGCAGATCACTTGAGGTCAGGAGTTTGAGACCAGCATGGCAAACATGGTGAAATCTCATCTCTACTAAAAATACAAAAATTAGCCGAGTGTGGTGGTGGGCACCTGTAATCCCAGCTACTTAGGAGGCTAAGGCAGAAGAATTGCTTGAACCCAGGAGGTGGAGGTTGCAGTGAGCCAAGGTTACACCACCGCACTACAGCCTGGTGACAGAGCAAGAGTCTGTCACCGCCTGCCCACCCCCTCCCCCTGTGAGAAAGAAAAACAAGCAGATTGACACAATAAAGGTATGGCTGCTCTCTCCTGAGCCCTCAACATGAATCAGCAATGCTATGTGTTTCTATCATGCAGCTCTCACACCCCACGACGACCCTGCCAACCTCTCTATTCTCCTTTAACTTCTAACCCTACCTTCCAGTCTCCTTTCTGATTCTCAGTAGGTGACCTCAATTCCTACCTCATAATGGCAAAAAGATCCATCAGACAGGCAGTTTGGCAACTTCCTGCTCCCTCATCTTTAAGCCTACCTGCGTCTGTGCCCATCCTTATTTCTTTCCTTTTATGCACGAGGATGATGTTCCTCCTCCTATGTAGGCCAAGTCTCCCCACCTGGACTCTGGAGCACCCCATCCAACCTTCTCTAACCTGTATCTCAATGGTTCTCAATGTGTGGTCCCCGTTCCAGCAGCGTTGGAATTCCCTGGGAGCTGGCTAGAAATGCAAGTAGCAGTCACAACCTAGACCATCATATCAGAAATTCTAGAAGTGCAGCCCAGCAATCTGTGTTTTAACAAACTTCTAGGTGATTCCAGTGCACACCCCCGGTGCTTCTTTGCTGGGCCCTTTTCCTTAGCAGTTAGCCCTGTGTGAGTCTTAAAATAACATCTTAAAAATGATGCAATTCTTTCATTCCCATTTCTGCCTCCTGAAAACACCTCTCTCTCTCATTCTCTAAGTAAAGAGAATTCGCAAAAGAATTGTCTATGCCTTCTTCAGGGCGCTGTCTCTTCTTGTCTTCTACAACAATGCATGCCTGACCTGACCTTGACCTCCATTTCTACAGACCATTGATTCATTTATCCATTTAACAAACAGGTGTTGAACACCTACTATGTGCCAGGGACTTCTCTGGCTCCTGGGGTTATAACTGTGAATGTGAAATATGAAAGTCATCGTGCCTGCCCTGATGACATTCACATTCAAGTATAATACCCAAATTAATATATAATTACAGTTTGTCGTGGGTTCTACCTTAAGAAAATACAGTATTATAAGTGAGAAACCAAAGTTAAAATTGGGAGTCATGGAAGGTTTTCCTGAGGAAGTTGTATTTGAACTTCCCAAGAGATGAGTAGAAGTTGTCAAAATGGAAAGTGAGGGAATTAGATATTCACACAGAGATGCATGATGCAGCCATGTACAAAGGAAGGGGAGAGGGAGTGGTCAGCATAGGATGCAGGCAATAAAGGGGGTATATGGTTTAAATAGAACTAAAAAATAATAATAAAACCAAGTAAAAGACAGCATGCTTTTGATTCACCATGCACATGCTCTAACACTTCCAATGTCATCAATCAAATACGCCCACCTGTCCAGGCTGACTGCTCCTCCACCCCCAGCCCTCAGCATGTCACTGGCCAAATATCTGAAGGTTTTGAAGGGGGAAAGAGGTTATTGCAATCTGAGGAAGTCAACATGGCAAGAGTACAGTGATTGAAGGAGAGAGAAACAAGACATTCTGAAAGGGCAGACAGAGCCCAACTCATGGACAGGCTAGATAGTTCAGAGTGTCATAAATGTAAGGACTTACCTAATTCTAAGTGCAAAAGAAAGCCATCAAAGGGTTTTAAGCAGGGCAGTGATGATTTTTTTTAAAAAACATATTTAAGGATTACTCTGGTTCCATTATACTGAATGGCTTGGAAGGGAGCAATAGGCAAATCCTGCAGACCAGTTAGAAGGCTAGAGCAATAGTCTGGGCCAGGAATAGTGGTGGCTTCAGTTAGGTGGCAGCAAGGGGATTGGAGAAATGTGGATGTATTGAAGATCTAACTTGTAGATAAACTGAACAGGACCTGGTTGTCAGGAGCTTAGCTGGGCTGGAGACAGCTGAGCTGTCATGTGTTGGAGTAGCTAATTAAAGCAACAAACCAAAACTGAAGGTGTTAGGCTGCTCATCACTCACTACGATGGTATAATGAAGAGAATAAAAGAAGAATTCGCCACCTCCCCCTGTTCCATTTTTTCCCAGGGAACAGCACCACCATCCAGGGTCAGTGGATCCGCACAGACGTGGAGTTCAGCTCAGCTCACCGTTGAGAGACCCCTCAACAACAACAACAACAAAGGCTTTTCAGTTGTATAGATTCTGGGTTGGAGTAAGGTGAGGGGAAGAGCTAGGAGTCGAAAAGTACTGAGCACTGAGTCGGAGTGGGGAAAAAGTGTCTTCAAGATTCCTCTGCTTCCCGCTCCATACCAGCCTCGGCAGAGGCACCTGAAGAGGACCTTGGCCCAAGGCCTCACACAGAAAGAGACGTAGGAACGGAAGGCACCTGTGCCAGAAATGCAAATAACACAGAGCACGATGGGCCTGAGGGGCCTGAACCTTAACTATGACTCTCTTTAGAAACTGCAGTGTGCCAGCTCAGCACCAAGTCTGGAGTAGGGGCAGCTTTCCCCCATGAGGCCTGCCAGGTAAAGGCTTTGTAACTGCCTATGGTCAGGCCTCAAGAATCACATATAGGTTTTTAACCAGGAGTAGGACTTCTCACTCCTACATTAATTCAGACTCCATGTTTCTGACATGCATAGGTAAGTTTATGGAGATATACAGTTGGAAAAGAAAATTAAATACTATTCAGGTTGGCACATGTTATATGTGAGTCAGTTATGTGGAGATGTGGACTAGGTAGGTAGATGTAATGATCTCTATGTATTTGAAAGTTATAGGAAATGGACCCATGAGAACAGGTTAGATAGCCATGTGCAGAAAGAATGTGTAGAATAGAAAGGAAGGGGGCTCAGGGCCAAGTCTGGAGGCCTCCAACATTTAATCTGAGTAGAGAAGAATAAATCAGCAAGGGAGACTGAAAGGGGGCAGCCAGGGAGGTTTAAGGGTAGCCTGGCATGGGAAGTCAGGTAAAGAGAGTAAATCAGCATGGAGAGGGAACTCAGCCTGCCAAGTGCTGATGAAGGGCCTTGTTTGATAAAGTCTCAAACTAACAGTTGCTGAATTTGGCAACACAGGGGTCATTGATGGCTTTAAACAAGATATACATTAATGGCTAGATTGAGTGGATGAGAGACTAAGTGGGAAATTAAAAGAGGATGAAACACGTCCCAAATCATTCTACGTATGCACTTCAGTTCATTAAAAAAGAGATGTAGTTTAGGAGGGGAAAATCACCTATTTATAACACCATGAAAAAGATTTTGGTAATCTCTCATCACGTACTAGGAGACTCAGTTATATATGACACAATTGCTTCCCTGGAGCTCATAATTTAACAATAGAAGAGATGATATAAAGACAATCAAAGATGTAAAGAATATAACAATAGGATTCTAGCCCTTAGATTAGAATTTTTCCAGAATAATAAACATACCTGAAACACCAGTCTTTGATCCTGCATTTTCTGTGGCTTAGAAGGAGAGACTATATGTAAGTGCAAATGCCCAGGTCAAGGTGGGAGCCTGTGGAAGGTGGTGGGTTCCCGGGGAGCAGTCTTTGAGCCAAAGGTTAACATGTGGGATTTTCTTGGGGAGCCCCTTCAGGATCAGTTCATGTGGAAAGGAAGGGAAGAGAGCAGGATTGCACAGAGGAGGCCCTGATGCAGGCCTGACGGCCCCTAGACCAACTCTATTCAGAGTTCTCAAGCTGGGGTGACCCTTCAGAGTTGCCCCTTGTTGGGAGACGGGGGCTAAGTATATCACTGCATTGACCAGTCATGGTCTGTCAACTGCGCTTGGGAAGGGAGAGTGACATTGGGCAAAGAGACTCTTCTGCCAAAGCAATCCTTAAAGAGCAGCACATCACAGTGTCTATGACAACATTTTCATTCCATTTGTTACTTACAACTTACAAATGAGATTCATGGAGTGATGTGCAGTCCACCTAGAGAAGCAGAGAAAGGACTTGTGTCTGCCTGTACAGAAGTACAAATTCTTATACAGGCTGAGTATCCCTTATCCAAAATTCTTGGGCCCAAAGTGTTTTGGATTTCTGATTTTAGGATATTTGCATATACATAATAAGATTTCTTGGGCACAGGAGCCAAGTGTAAAGACAGAATTCATTTATGTTTCATATATACATTATACCCATAGCCTGAAGGTAATTTTATACAATATTTAAAATAATTTTGTGCATGAAACAAAATATTGACCAAAACCCATCACACGAGATCAGGTGGTGTCATGTCAGCACTCAAAAAATTTTCAACATTTTGCCCAGGCTAGTCTTGAACTCCTGGGCTCAAGCGATCCACCTGCCTCAGCTTCCCAAAGGGCTGGGATTACAGGCATGAGCCACCACACCCAGCCTCTTTCTTTCTCTTTTTGTAGCAATAGGGTCTCGCTTTGTTGACCTGGCTGGTCTCGAATCCTGACTTCAAGTGATCCTCCCACTTCAGCCTCCCAAAGTGCTAGAATCACAGGCATGAGCCACTGTGACTGTCCTAAATGATTCTTATGCACGCCAAAACTATGAACACACCCCTGCTCCCCCATCATGGTCTCAGCTGTCATGGTGGGTGAGTATGGCTGAACTAGTGTCTCATAACACGTAGTAGCATATTGTCCATCTCAGGGAAGGCCTAGCATTTTAACCGAAAACAATCAAGGATTCCATCTCAATTGGGAAATTTCAGCCACCAGGGCAAAATGGTTACTGAAAATTTCCCTTCTCTTTTTCCTTTCTTTTTTTTCCTTCCCTTGAGTGTTACTTGGTGATAGCCTTGTCTTCTGCCTTCCTTTAATGTTGGATCCTTCTATAAACACATGTATCAGTCAGGAAACTCTATAGACAGCCTTAGATTTATATGTGATTTAAAACCTCTGGAATGTGTGTTGCAACCAGACATGAAAATAAACTTTCCACATATCCCAAGGGGACCATCTAAGTGTTATGAGGGAGAAAAAGACAAACAAAACAGATTTTATTGTCAAATAAGTTTGAAGTGCACTGAATTAAAATTAAGCATGTTTGTTTACTCCAAAACTTCTCAGAGCCTTGAATATGCTAATATTTGTTGTGAATTTCCCAGAGAACCCCATGCATGCATTGTGTCTCAGATTTTCTTGGGGAGCCTCTTAAAGTTGTCTTACTTTGGGGATCACACTTTGGGAAAGGCTGTCCTAGATTTCAGCTGGTTATCTGTCAGTCATTTTCAGTCATGCTGCAGTATGGCTCACATTCTCTGCATTCTGATATTTTCTGTTTGAGTTTGATTTCCAGTCATTATTGTGGCTACTTTGTTCACCTTGGAGTTTGATTTAAAATGTTAGCAAAAGCACCCAAACTCAGTCTTAATTTTCTGTTATTTCAAAACACTTCGGACTTCAGCTCCACATTTCATACTTCATTTAATTTACTTTTGAGCATACTATGCAGTCTTCGGCCAGTGTCTTACAAGTGGATCTTACTTCTATTCGTCTTGGCTGAAAGAATTTTCTTAAACTATATGTCAGTGTTCCGGTGCTTGATGTTTATTTGAAAACTTGTGTTTACTATTGACTTATATTCCTACTCTATCCTTTTGTTTTAGCATTTTGTATTTGGGAAGAAATGCCTTTGAAATAACATTTGTATCCACTAAAATGAACTTTTAAAGACACAAGTTTTCAATGTAAAGTTCTAAATGACAAAAGAACTCAGATCTTATTTTCACAAATACTTCGCTTCCATTTCCTTCTCTTAAAACTGGTTCCTATTATTACTCTGGAAAGGATTATAGCTTCTTCATAGGTGATTTCTTATATTTCCTTAGGTAAATCATGAAAGAGTTTAACCGTATCTTAACAATGGGATAGCAATGCAGATTTTATCATAAAGATCTAATCAAGAATAGATAAGGCACTGAAGTTTTAGAGATTGCAAGATGGAATAATTCCGTTCAGATTTATGTTACAAATATGTTGCTGTATAGATAAAATAAGACTTGGATGATTTAACGGCCGTTGTCTCCAGCCTCTGCAGAAGTAAGCTGTGATACGATTTGGGAGAAGGACCTCAATTCACACATTTGTTACCAGTTCAACCTGCTTTCATCTCTCTCTTGGAGCGAGGCACATTCTTCATGCCAGATGCAAGGAGGTGCTCTGTTAAGTATTACAGATGAAACTGAAGAAAATTTTGTAAGGGGTAAGTAGGTGGATGATGCACATTGATACTGATACAATAAAAAGACTGTTGTTAACTGTTTTCACATATACAAAAATATATTCTGAAAAAAAAGCTCTTAGAAAATATTTTTCTTTCCTTAATATGGCCCAAAACTCTCACCCAAAATGTTTCCATGAACCTTAAGTGATTCCATTTGGCATCCAGTGATGTCTTTCTTATTTTCTCCCCCTTGGAGAAGAGAATTTGAGGCCACAGCAAGGGACTCAGGAGAGTTGCAGTTCTAACAGGTGAATAGGAAGATTTCTAAATTTAAGGGCTATTTCTTGCTCTTCTGGAGATCTTAGCCATTCCATTTCCATTAATAAATCATTAAGCATTTTATTAATTAAATGAAATCTTACGTATCATTCACCATGTGCAGGTACATCATAGGCCTTTTGGTGGGTCCCAAAAACAAAATCTTAAACTTTGGTGGGAAAAGCAAAAGCACATATATGTTAACTAACAGTATAGACAATAATGTGTTAAAAGAATTATGCCAGTAAACTAAGACTTGTGTTTCACTCATTTCCTACACTCTCCTCTTACTTTTCCTTTATAGATTAAATGTATTTGTATGTGTGTACGCACACCTCTTTAAAAACTTGTGGAAACATTAGAAAATATCACAAAATTAGTCACTTTCATTAACAGTTTTTGATGCCAGTTTTTTTCAAATATTATTGCATATGTAGTCCATGTTTATTTTAGAATAATTTGTAAAATTCAGGTATATAGAAAGAAAAACCAATGAAAAAGTTCCCATAGTTCTGTAATCCAGAGATAACTGTGTTTCTCTGCAAAAACATATAAATGCATGTGTACATACATAGTATATATTAAAAATGGTATTATATGAAAACATGGCAGCAGCCAGGCGCAGTGGCTCACACTTGTAATCCCAGCACTACGGGAGGCCAAGGCGGGTGGATCAGTTGAGGCCAAGAGTTCGAGACCAGCCTGGCCAACATGGTGAAACCATCTCTCTACTAAAAATACAAAAATTTGCCGAATGTGGTGGCATACACCCGTAGTCCCAGCTACTAAGGAGACTGAGGCAGGAGAATCACTTGAACCTGGGAGGTAGAGGATTCAGTGAGCCAAGATCATGCCATTGCACTCCAGCCCGGGCTGCAGAACCAGACTCCATATCAAAATACATAAATACATAAATAAAAAATAAAAATAAATAAAAACATGGCAGCTATTGCACAGTGGTTAGAAGAGCAGGGAGCCACCTGGGTTTGAATCCTGCCTCTACCACTTGAGTAGCAGGCTTACTCAAGCAAGTGATTTAACCGCTCTGTGCCTCAATTTCCCCCTCTACCAAGTGGAAATAATAATAATGCAAATTCCTTGTGTGGATTACATATTTTAATACAGGTGAAATCATAGAAAAGTGCCTGGCACACATAACACTCAGTGTGTGTTAACCATTTAACAACAACTATGTACACAGTTTGGTAATCTGGTTATTTTATTTACCTGCATATAATGAACATTTGCCTGTATCTATAAATATAGATCTACATAATAATTTTTAATGGTTACATAGTAGTATAGGTTAGTGGTAATACATTGATCGAATCTCCTTTTACTAGAGATATATTGATGAAACCATTTGTTTTTTATTTATTTATTTGTTGATATTATAAACCATCCCTGCACATAGCTTTGTGCATACCTCCCCAATTATTTTTTATAAGTTTGCAGAAGTGCGTTCACTGGATGGAAAAGTAAGCACACTTTAAAGCTTTTGTAAGTCATTAATATCTTCCAGAAGGATTGTAAGAAATGAATGAGCAATGTGTGCCCACCCTTTCCCCACAGCTGTGCAAAAGTCAGAAATTATTATTGAATTTGATTTGAGTAAGTCATAGTGCAGGAAAACATCAATTTTCAAAATCATTATAAGCCTGAAATGGTTTTCATATAAAAGTTTACATGCCATTTATGAATTACAATTATCTATCTTAACTGCCAGAATCTGTCATGAGAAGGTCTGGAGTTATTCATCAAATTTGAATAACAATTTAAAAAAATAAGACATGTCAGGGACTTTGCTTTAACTACCTCAGTTCTATAATTAGTCTTTGGGATTTGTTTGGAAAAACAGAAGTCTGTTCATAAAGACAGAAACCTGTTCATTCCAACCAAGGTATTTTTTAATGATGAAAATAATCTAATGTTTCTTGCTAACTCTGGTGAACATGTACTATGGTACAAGGAATTATCTAAGCTGTCATGAATGCCAAGAAATATCCAAAGGAATTTAAATTCTAGTTTCTTATTACAGTATTGTGGGCCAGCTTAGTCATAAAGATAAATAGATGGTTTTTTGTGCCTTCAGACACCGATTATAAATTGCACAATGATTTTTTATCTGCATTATTGAAACAATTGCACAATGGGTATTCAAAATAATTCTAAGATAATAATAATTCACGTTTTAATATTTTAACTAGATTTTAAAATATCACTTGGCACTTGCCTGGATGTGAAATGTGAAAATTACTCCCTGCCTTGTCAATCCATTTCACTTCTTATCATCATAAGACCTGCTAAATGATTTAATCAAATGGTGCTATTGAAAGGAATAATCAAATGGACATTAGAAAGAGATTCCATGTGAATGCCATGGAAACTTGGAAGGGTGAAACCCACGTATAGGATGCTGTTTCTGTTTATTGATTTCTGGGGATCTCAAAATTATAAAGCACCTTTTTCTCTTTTCCTAAATGGGTTAGGCTCTTTGAGTTTTTCACAATTGTATTGAAATGTCTAGTCACTGAGGATGCTGCAGCCTTGTTATATGACTACAATGACCTTCACAACCTGGGTAATCATACAGTCTATCATCCAAACTGAGACTCTTTTGATAGTAAAAGGGACTGTGATTAATAATTATTCTGGAACTACCAGCATGAACCATGAGCTTTCCAGGAAAACGGGGGCATACGGTCACCCTGTTTATAACTCTTATCCGTCAGGGTCTTAATCTCAGGCAGGACCCCTGCATCTGACTAAAAATACATTGGGCTCTGAAGCAGGTGAATTGTAAGCGAACAATGCTCTCCTTTGTAGATTAAAAGAGTAAATGGCAACATTTCAAAATGTCACAAAATTGCCACTTTCATTACGTTTCTGATACTGGGTTTTGGTCCCCCCAACCCCCATTTTTACTGCACAAATAGTACCTATTTGTTCTGGAAGAATGTTTAAAATTTAGGTGCACAGAAAGAAAAACTGAAGAAAAATTCCCATAATTCTATAATCTTGATAACTATGTTTTTCTGCACGTCAATGCATGTTTTTATTCATAGTGTCTTTAACAAACATGGTATTGCCTTAAACCGAGAGTTGTAGTGGACTCGTTAAGAGGAGGGGCCACAGAGCCAGCCTGCCATAAAATCTTCCTCCACCTCAAGCTGTGGAAGCAGCCTCTAGTTTGCACTGCACACAGCCTTAGGTCCCAACCTGCTAGGGATGCCCCGAGACACTCTCGTCCCTCCTGTTGAGCAGACAACTCCTAGTGGCTCTCACACTGTACACCCCTCCTTGATCTACTCCAGCACACTTTTTTACCTTTGAAGATGTGCCTCTGTTCACTTTCTGGGAGTGACCCTGCACACCTCCTCCTCCACCCTATAAAACCTTTAAGTTCATGAGCTCACTCAAGTAAGATGGCCTCAAGTGTGCAACCATGCACCCTTGTCTAGATTGACAACCGTGAAAGGCAACATTTCTGGGTACTCGCATGAAGCATTCACAGTTGAAAAACAGCTGTCAGTGAGCCTGCTCTGTTTCTCAAGATGGTGGGAGCCTGCTTTATCACTCAGAAGCACCACGTGCATTCTCTGCACCTTTCCTATCGTTGACTGGGATTAATTTCTGACTCCATGATCCAGGAATAGGAGAACAAGAAAGATGTGTAACACTGGATTTTTTTTTTTTTTGAAGCTTCATAATTTTCATTTCAGAGCACATGAGCAGTAAGGCAGTGGAGGTGTGGATTGGTCTCAATCAGCTGGATGAACACGCTGGCTGGCAGTGGTCTGATGGAACACCGCTCAACTACCTAAACTGGAGCCCAGGTACCCGCAGTGTTTTCTTTGCCTTTGTCACGTGGCATCATCCTGCAGCCTTACACCGCAGCGTTTCCCATGCACATAGGACATGCTTTTCTGAGAGCAGTTTATAAACATTTTTTAACCTGACTGAATTCTTTAAAGGCAAGCTTTTCCAAACAAGAAAATAGAGTCCAGGAAGATAAGCTTTTTAGCCAAAATTGCAGGAGAATTTGGGTACAAGCCAAGATTCCAGTCTGCTGCTTTAAAAATAGCTACAAATTGCAAAGTATCTCTCTACTTTAAGATAGTAAAATTGGGTCTTTTGGAATCTTTGGGAAATCATTTAATTGACATGCCTGGACTGTAACTGCAAAATCATGGATAACATCTTATAGGATATAACATCTTTACAGGATTTACTATATATGACAAGCAAAAAGGCTATCCCCTTGATGCTGAAACTACATTTCAATATATATTAAACTAGCTGCTTTTGCTTCTAATATTAAACACACTCTTTGTATTTTCAGAGGTAAATTTTGAGCCATTTGTTGAAAATCACTGTGGAACATTTAGTTCATTTATGCCAAGTGCCTGGAGGAGTCGGGATTGTGAGTCCACCTTGCCATATATATGTAAAAAATATCTAAACCACACTGATCATGAAATAGTTGGTAAGTGTTTTTATTTTAAGTTGTTCTTAGGTGTTGTTTACTTGTCCTCTCAATATATGTAAATTTCTCTAATTTTTACTAATAATTCATAATGTAAACTTAGCTAAATCTAGTTTATATTTATATGAAAAAATGTGTAACTAGATAATATCTGCTATGTCAAAGGGACTGTGATTTTAACAAATGCATTTAGGTTTTTACTAAAAAACTGAAATAAACTGAGCATAGCAAACATTTTCTTCCTCTCTTCTAAAAAATTTGCACTCTTAGTCATTCTGTATTAGAAAAATAAGATACATTTCTTTTTCTATTCTAGTTTTGAGTTTTATTTATTGTTCCCCTAGAAATTAAACATAATTTAAAAAACAATTTTATATAATTATTTACTTCATTGATTTTCTGGCACACTCTGAATCTCTTATTAGTAACACACCCTCCTCCCTGAAATCACATGCAGGACTTTTTAGATGGAGTTAATACTTAAATAATATCTAATCACAGTCTACTACCAGAAGTCCAATTATTTCTGTTTTCAGGTCTATAACCTCTTTCTAGTTTCTCTGAGAATTAATGTCTTAACTCCAAATGTAGAGATAAAAATATAACTTTTTTTTTTTCTTTTGAGACGGAGTCTCGCTCTGTGGTCCAGGCTGGAGTGCAGTGGCACAATCTCAGCTCACTGCAAGCTCAGCCCTCCTGCCTCACTCTCCTGAGTAGCTGGGAGTACAGGCGCCCGCCACTACGCCTGGCTAATTTGTTGTATAGTTAGTAGAGATGGAGTTTCACCGTGTTAGCCAGGATGGTCTCGATCTCCTGACCTTGTGATCTACCCTCCTTGGCCTCCCAAAGTTCTGGGATTACAGGCGTGAGCCACCGCGCCCGGCCAATATAACCATTTTATAAAGAATCATTGCAAAAATATTAGAAAAACTCTAGATTTAAAATAATAAGCTGAATTATCATTTTTAAATATTGTCTCTGACAATCGGGTTTTAACTTTCATTTTCCTTTAAATAGCTAAGCCTAGAAGTTTTGTAGAATATGGGGTACAAGTTGGGGAAAAAAGAAGCATCTTGCCATTTTTTAATGTAGAGATTTGTCCATTATTTCAGGAATTTGCTGAAATTGCTACCACCTGTTATTGTCCTTTTCCCTCCCTCTCTTCCTTCTTTCATATTCCTTTCTCCATTCCTTCTCTCTTCATTTTTTCTTTCTTTCTTATGCCATCTTGCATTCCCTCCTGCCACCCTTCATTTCTTCTGTTATATTTATCCTTCTGGTCTGCTAATTGAGGTCAGAAGACCAGAAATGGGAGTAGTTAAGTTAGCTTGTTTGGATTATTTGCTTTGCTTCAAGTTCAACACATTCTTCTGCGGATCGATTGAAGTCTTGCTTTTGTGACCCAGGCTGGAATGCAATGGCGCGATCTCAGATCAGTGCAACCTCTGCCTCCCGGGTTCAAGCAATTCTGCCTCAGCCTCCCAAGTAGCTGGGATTACAGGCGCCTACCACCATGCCCAGCTAATTTTTGTATTTTTAGTAGAAACAGGGTTTCACCATGTTCACCAGGCTGGTCTCGAACTCCTGACCTGAGGCTATCCATCCGCCTCAGCCTCCCAAAGTGCTGGGATTACAGGCGTGAGCCACCACGCGCAGCCTAAAATTCCAAGTTTAAAAAGGGTGTCATGAGTACTTTTTTAGGCTGAAAACCATTGGGGTCAATGATATACAAAATTCTAACACTCTTTGGCCATGATTCCAATTGCTGTCAGAGTCCTAGAAACAATTTTAAAAGAATGTTTTGTTTCCCACAGTGAAATCATATTTAGTTTAAATTCGTTCTTAATGGAGGCACCTCATTGTGGTTAATAAAATAAGGCAAAAAATGCCATCATCAGATAGGGGACAGTCTCGCGAGAAAGGAAAACCAACATATAGCATGTGCATCACCACTGCCCTCCAATGTCCAAGCATCATGGCACTGTGTTCCTGAAAGCCCCACCTGGCGTCTGTATCAGCCCAGAGCAACACCGTGGACACTCAAGACGTGTCTTCAAAGTGAAACCTATTTGTCATCCCCATTTTAGAGGAAGTTGTCAGAGTTTTAGGCTCTTTTCAGCTGAGGATAAATATCTACCTCACCCATACACTATGTATAAAATCCCTGAAATACCATTTAAATTGTATTCCATAATACTTCTTTTAAATGTAAAAAGGTTTCAAAAACGAACAGCTTTGTTAAATTTTATACCTAGTCCCAACACCCTGCTTTCATTGTATGTCCTTTGTCAAGTCTCTTTACTTCTTTGGTTTTGTTGTTGTTGTTTGTTTTACTTTTTTACTATTTTTTAAAATAAAATATACTATATATGTTCAAAGTATACAATATGATGTCATAGGATATATATACATATAGTAAAATGGTTATTTTAGTGACACAAATTAACACATGCATCATCTCACTTAGTTACCCATTTCCCCCACTGTGACAAGAGCAACTATAGTTTACTCATTTATCAAGAATCCTGAATACACTATATTAACTATAGTCCTCATGCTGTACAGTAGACCTTTAGACTTATTCATCCTACAGATCTGCTACCTGTATCCTTTTTCCTACCTCTGCTCATTTTCTCTCTTTGACTCCTAGTAACCTTTTATCCGTTCAGCCATTCTGTGTTTTGATTAGACAATTTAATCCATTTGCATTCAGAGTAATGATTGATAGGTAAAGACTTACTATTGCCATTTTGTTCATTGTTTTCTGCTTGTTTTATAGATTCTTTTTTCTTTCTTCCTCTCTTATTGTTTACCTTTGTGATTTGGTGATTTTTTGTGTGTGTGTGGTGCTAAATTTCAATTCCTTTCTCTTTATCAGTTGTGTATCTGCTATAGTTTTTTTTTTTTTTTCTTTGTGGTTATCATATGGCTTACATAAAACATCTTGTAGTTATAATGGACTGTTTTACACTGATAACTGCTTAACTTTAGTTGCATACAATCACTCTAGATTTTTACCCTACCTCCAATAGTTAAAATTTTGATGTCACTATTTACATCTTTTAATATTGTGTATTTCTTAATTTATTGTAGCTATAGTTATGTTTTAGCATTTTGGTTATTTATTTATTTATTTACTTATTTATTTATGTTTTAGAGACAGGGTCTTGCTCTGTTGCCCAGGCTGGAATATGGTGGCATGATCATAGCTCGACCTCCTGGGTTCAACTAATCCTCCCACCTCAGCCTCCCAAAGTGCTGGGATTACAGCCGTGAGCCACTGTGCCCAACCTATTTTTGACAATTTTGACTTTAATCTTCATACTGGAGATATAAATGATTTACAGACCACCATTACAGTATTTGAACATTCTGAATTTGATATATTTACCTCCAAGGAAGAAGGGGTACTCTGGAGGTTTGGCTCCAGGGAACAGCGCACGGCTGTAATTTGGGAACCAGAACCAGTATGGCACTGTGGCAACTCCAGCTCTAGGGGTGAAGCACCAGGCAGTGGTGACTCCGGACCCTGGGATGGTGGGACACAGCAGAATCTCAGACTCTGTGAGGTCAGGTTCAGTAGCAACAAGGACCCAGGAATGGTGGCATATAGCTATGGCCTGTTTCCTGGGGGGCAAGGAGCAGCAAAATGATGACTCCTCTCCCGGGGAAGGGGTGCCTCAGCAGTTCAGGCTTTGTGGGACTAGTCCAGTTCCAGGAAAGCAGGGTGCTACAGCTGTTTGGCCTGGAGGGCAGGATGTCCCAGCCTTGCCAATGCTGTTTCCGTTGGATGCAGGGTACCACATCAGCCAAGCCCCACGAGGCACAGCTGCTCAGCTCAGCTAAGGCACCCATTCCCCCATGAGATGGGGCTGCTTCAGCTTAGGTGCTGGGGGGTATGACTGCTTTGGGCAGCTAAAGCACTGTTTCCCCTGGATTTGGGAGCCACTTCAGCTCAGGTGCCAGAGGTGTGACTGCTCTCGGCAGCCAGGGCAGGGATTCCCTGGGAGGCAGGGCGCCACTTCAGCACACATACTGGGGAATATGACTACTCTGGGAGGCCAAGGCACCATTTCTTTGGAGGCAGGGTGATAAACCAGCTCAGGCTCTGAGGGGCATGGCACAGCAACAACCAGGAAAGGTAAATAGAGCAGCTCATGGCAACTTGGCCACGCCAGGTAGAGTGAGAGCCCCACAGCAATTTGGCATGGGGTTGGTGGGCCACTAGGTAGAAGTGGTGCAGTGGTTACAAAGCCTCAAAGATGGAGAAGTGCTGTGGCTACTCACTACCGGAGCAGAACATGACATTCTAGCAGTGGTTCTTTTTTCAAGATGGTGCAGCACAATAGCCCCACAGGCCACAGAGAGACAGGGTACAGCGTCAGAACTTTCTCTGGGGCAAGCATAGTCCTGTAGACTCCAGGCAGCCCCCTCAACTGGGCTTAGTGTCTGTGAAGGCTGCAGGGGTCCCCAGTAGCAAGGACTGTAGGTGACCCTGGTGGTGTTGGGGGCTGCTGGGGTCCTCTTGCTCATCCTTTCCTTACAGGGAGAAGTCTCTCCTGGCTCTAAGCTGCTTCCGACGGGGACTGGGGGAGATTGTGGGGGTGAAGGTGGCAAGGGTTTCTGTGCTCCATGTTGTTTCTGCTACTCCCTTGATGTGCTCCAGCACTCTCTTTCAGCTGCCTTTGTGAAAATGTAATCATTTATTCGTTGCTTTGGCTGTTCATATAGCAGGGATGAGTGCCAGGTTTTACCAGAAAGGGGTCCCAATCCAGACCCCAAGAAAGAATTGGAGACGAATCCATAAAAGGAAAGCAAGTTTATCAGGAAAGTAAAGGAATAAAGATTGGCTACTCCAGAGGCCGAGCAGCGGCTTGGGCTGCTCAGCTGATTACACTTACAGTTCTTTCTCGATTATATGCTAAACAAGGGGTAGATTATTCATGAGTTTTCTGGGAAAGGAGTATACCATTTCCGGGAATGAGGGTTCCTCCCCCTTTTAGAACATATAGGGTAACTTCCTGATGTTGCCATGGCTTGTAAACTGTCATAGCATTGGTGGGAGTGTCTTTTAGCATGCTAATACATTATAATTAGCATATAATGAGCAGCTAGGATCACCAGAGCTCACTTTCCTCACCATCTTGGTTTTGATGAGTTTTGGCCAGCTTCTTTACTGCAGCTTGTTTTATCAGCAAGGTCTTCGTGACCTGTATTTTGTGTTGACTTTCTGTCTCATCTTGTAGAATGCCTGACCTTCTGGAAATGCAGCTCAGTAGGTCTCAGCCTTATTTTACTCAGCCCCTAAACAAGATGGAATTGCTGTTGTTCAAAGGCTTCTGACACAGGTGTCTCTATCGGCCATTTTGCTGCCATCCCTCCTCTCCTTACTTCTTTGTACCTTCACTAGCTCATCTGGAAAATGAAATACTGAGGTTCATTTTACCCTAGATCTAGATCTAGATCATAGATTAGACCCTTCTCAACTCTGAAGATCTAGAATTCCATGATATATGTCATTTTGTATATTTCTGTTTTTCACATTTTAAAGTAATCATATAAATGGCAATTTACATAAACTGTAATAAGTAATGTTAAAATAATTGTGGAAAATGACATTGTTTTTTGTTGGTTTAAAAAGAAAAAGATGCGTGGAAATATTATGCTACCCACTGTGAGCCTGGCTGGAATCCCTACAATCGTAATTGCTACAAACTTCAGAAAGAAGAAAAGACCTGGCATAAGGCTTTGCGTTCCTGTCAGGCTGATAACAGTGCATTAATAGATATAACCTCATTAGCAGAGGTGGAGTTTCTTGTAACCCTCCTTGGAGATGGTGAGTCCCAGCTGCCTTTGGTTTAAGAGGTATAAAATATAATGTAGTAACTACTTTTATTAGTAGAGTTGAAAAGAAATTTAAGTTATTTAAAAGTGATTATTCATGACACATATATTTAAAGTTTCTAAATGTTATTCAGGAGTTCAAATTTATTGGATTTTTACAAAATACATGTTCAGAAACTTCGTAACATCTTCATATATGCCACATTTATTAGATGATTTTTAACTTTTTTGTAAAGTAGGAAAGTTCATTTCCTAAAACTTCTAGTGAAAAACCTAAACCTGTAATTTAGCTTTATGGCCACTAGATAGCAGTAGTGTGTTGTTATCATGTAATCCACATACTAAAGGGAACCCCTTAGGCAAATAATTGGATTTAAACAATTTTAGCCGGTGAACATGGGTAATTTATTTGGTGAAGTGATGTTCAGACTGTTCCCCATGTATAGGAGTTTTAGGCTCCTGGCTTCCACCCAGCCTGAGTCCATCAGAGTTGGCTTGCTCTTCAATGTGTCATGCATTTGACATAGACTTCTGCTGAAAAATACTGAAATTATTTATTTCATTTTTCAGTTTTTAAAAATACAAAAAAATTTCCAGGATCTACTTTGATGACATTTTCAATTGTTAGGTTTTAGTATGGAGTGAAAACATGCATCCTTCTCTGTTATTTTTCCTAATCCTTTGCATTTGGGATTAAAGAACCCTGTGGGCTGCTTATCTCAACAAGGGCACTTACACATCTCTTTCAGCCACATAGGGTCCTTTCTTACCTAGGCTGTCAAGTTTTAATTCCTTTTCCAGTAACTCCACTTCAATTCCTTTAAGAGGTTTTGCTCCTTTTTTCTCATGGCAGAAAAAAGAAAAAGGAAAAAACATACTTTAAAAAATAGGTTTAAGAGGTACAGGTGAGTATTTCTTACATGCATATATTGCAGTGGTGAAGTCTGGCCTCTTAGCGGTCCCATCACCCAGATAGTGAGCATTGTACCCAACAGGTGATTTTTCAACCCTCAGCCTCACCCCTACCACCTTTTGGAGTCTCCAGTGTTTATTATCCTGCTCTGTATCTCCATGTGTCCCCATTGTTTAGCTCCCACCTATAAATGAGAACATGCAGTATTTGATGTTCTGAGTTATTTCACTTAGCAGAATCACCTCAAGTGCTACCTGTGTGCAAAAGACATGATTTCATTCTTTTCTATGGCTGAGTAGTATTCCGTGATGTGTGTGTGTGCATATATGTGTATATATGTGTGTATATATGCATATATGTGTATATATGTGTATATATATGCATATATGTGTATATATGTGTATATATGCATATATGTGTGTATATATGCATATATATGTATATGTGTGTATATATGCATATATATGTATATGTGTGTATATATATGCATATATGTATATATGTGTATATATATGCATATATATGTATATATGTGTGTGTGTATATATATATAAAAAACCATATTTTGTTTATCCAGCCCTCCTCTGATAGATACTTACATGATTCCATCTTTGCTATTGTGAATAATGCTGTGATAAACATATGAGTACAGGTGTCTTTTTGATATGATTTTTTTCCCTTTGGGTATATATCCAGTAGTGGGATTGCTGGATTGAATGGTAGTTCTATGTTTAGTTCTTTGAGTAATCCCCATACTGTTTTCCATAAAGGTTGTACTAATTTACATTCCCACCAATAATGTATAAGTGTTTCTTTTTTTGCATCCTCACCAACATCTGTTGGGGGGGAAAAAACTTATCTTTAAGCTAGACTATCATTAAAAGTTTGTTTCATGCCCTTTTCATAATCCAGTGGGTCTTCCTATTTTTCCTTTCTCTAGGCAGAAGCAAAACCAGACTTTTCAGATCTACGTAACGTACATACACGATTCTAGCAGAAATCAGAGCCCCAGGAATCCAACTTGCTTAGGCTTTGTTGTTGCATTGGCTTTGGCTCACACTCTGCCTCACTTATAAGGCCTATATCAAGCAGATCTGGATATTATGGGGGTGTCTTAGTTCATTTTCTATTGATTATAATAGAATACAAAGAAACTGAGTAATTTATAAAGAAAAGAACTTTATTTCCTACAGTTATGGAGGCTGGGAAGTTCAAGGTCAAAGGGCCACATCTGGAGAGGGTCTCCTTGCTAATGGGGATTCTCTGCAGAGTCCCATGGTGGCACAGGGCATCACATGGAGAGGGGGCTGAGTGTGCTATCTCAGGTCTCTCTTCCTCTTCTTATAAAGCCACCAGTACCATTCCCATGAGAACTAGTTAATCCATTAACCCATTAATCCATTCATCAGGGCAGAGCCTTCATGACCCACTCGACCCTTAGAGGCTCCCCCTCAATATTGCCACATTGGGGATTAAGTTTCAACCTGAATTTTGGAGGGGACAAACATTCAAACCATAGCACAGAGGGGAAAATGTTTAAACAGACATTTTATGCCAAGACTTAAACAGATTCCATTATGCAAAGAAATAAAGAAGAAATCACATGTGAAGTGGTATATTTTGGTAGTAACTCCAGGGTGTTATCTCCTTTGCAAATAATAGGATCCTGTAAGTAATTTACATTTATCTCTTACAGAAAACGCATCAGAAACATGGATTGGTTTGAGCAGCAATAAAATTCCAGTTTCCTTTGAATGGTCTAGTGACTCTTCAGTCATCTTTACTAATTGGCACACACTTGAGCCGCAAATTTTTCCAAATAGAAGCCAGCTGTGTGTCTCAGCAGAGCAGTCTGTAAGTCAATTCATTTGTTCAGTGCTCACTTTACTGGTCTTGTACTGAAGGCCACCTATGCTGGAGCCTTGGGCTATGGCAGAGACCAAGACAGACACAGTCCCTGCTCCTCATGGGCCTTCCATATTAGAGAGTAAACAAGTACACACAGAAAAAACATGGTAATTATAGTTGTAATGATTGCTCCAAGGAAATATGTGACATGATAGTGAAAAGCTTGGGTTGGGGAAGGATAAGATAGTCACAGAAAGCATTTCTGAAAAGTTGACATTTAAGCTTGGACTTAAAAAAAAAAAAAAACTCTCAGAGAGAAGAGAGAAGAATATTCTAAGCAGAACATGCAGAGGGTAGCAAGTGCAAAGGCCCAAAGACAGACCAAGACTTGATATGTTGAATTATCAAAAAGGAGACCAGTGGTGAGGAGGTCGTAAGAGACGGGCAATAGGAATTCTAAAATGCCAGGTTTCTAGACTGTGGTACAGTAATCAATAAAGTGCTTCAAGGAAACAAATGGCATGATCTGATTTACATTTTAAAATTAACTGTGGCTCCTACACAGAAAATGGTTAGGAGAGGGATAAAATGGAAGCAGAAAAGCCAGTTTGGAGGCTACACCAGAGTTGAATTAGGGTAGTGACTGTGAAGAGAAGTGGACAGATCCAAGTGTGCTTTGGAGAACAGGAGGTGTTACTAAGTTAGATGTTGGGGTGGGAGAGAGGTCGACTTTTGGCTTGAGCAACCACGGTTTTGGTGGATGGTGGTGCCATTGACTGCCGTGATGAAGATGAGGGGAAGAACTGAGGGATGGAAGATTACTCTGGAGAGTGATGGTTTTTAAGCTCCTTTATCTTATTCACGTAAAAGGATTTAAACAGGATGTGTAACCTCTTTGAAAATTATGGATCAGTGGCAAGTCTTGCTCTTTTCCTCACGTGGATGGAGTGGTCCCAGTAGTCTGAACACCACATTCATCCCTATGTTCTAGTCTCTCATTTATCTAAAACATCTGATTATACAGAATTAGTTTAATCCCAAGCCATTTGAATAGTTTATTATGCCTAAAACAGACTTAATCTCTTTGATCAAGATAGCTGCTGAATACAGTGGCTGAGTTTTAGGAGGTTGTTGGGACTTGGTAGATGTCCTTATTCTTCTAACCACCGGGATACTCTGTCAAGTTCCCCCAAGAGGCAGTTTATTAAATGTTACTGACATGGCTTGACAAAGTAATTATGCCAGCCAAACAGGAAGCATTTCTGAGCACTTAACTTTTGTGACATGTTTCATGGTTTCATCTTTTAATGCTAGCACAGACAATTACAATTGTACAGTGCAGTAACAGTTATACATGCTAAGGCTGTGTCTCTCAGCACCATATGAAGAAGGAGAAACAATACCTCTCAATGTTTGTCTTGGGTCTAGCTCTGCTGAAATCCACCACAATGTTTTGTTTGTTTGTTTGTTTGTTTGTTTGTTTTTGAGACAGAATCTCACTCTGTCACCCAGGCTGGAGTGCAGTAGTGCGATCTCAGGTCACTGCAACCTCCATTTCCTGGATTCAAGTGATTCTCATGCCTCAGCCTCCCGAGTAGCTGGGATTACAGGCCTGCACTACCACGCCTGGCTAATTTTTGTATTTTTAGTAGAGGTGGGGTTTCATGTTGCCCATGCTGGTCTCAAACTCCTGGACTTTACCCTCCTTGGCCTCCCAAAGTGTTGAGATTACTGGCGTGGGCCACTGCGCCTGGCCCACCACCATTTATTCCACAGTATCTGCTGATTTATTGGTTCATTAGTTTTGATATAATTTAGGTGATCATTTCTTATTGACAGGCATGGGTATGTTGCTCTGCAAGTTTACAGAACAGGAACCAATATTTGGACAGAGATTATTTTTTAAGAGATTGAGGATAGGTATTAATAGTATTGGACATGTCAGGACAATGCTGCCATAAGTGTAATATTTTGTGGCCCCTTTTCTGGCAACTCAGAAGCTCCTTGAATAGTAGATGTATAAAAAATAACATTTATTTCCTGGAGTAGAACTCAGTATGAATATAATTATTATAATTAACAAGTTAACAAATCACAGTTGACACAAATTTGAATATGAGAGCCTAGGAAACAATTCATTTGTTCTTCCATTCATCTAACAGTTCTTAACTACAGAATGCCTGACACTATCCTGTAACTGGATGGTTTGCTGGAAGACTCCCTGGGGGAGCGATGCAGAGCTCCTCTTACAGATGAAGGTGTCAGCCCTGGATGTTGTATTTTTCTAAGGGTCACGGAAGGGCTCCACATTCCCCTAAAATTCTAGATGTGTGAAATACCACCTGGAATTTGAATTGTGTAACTTTAGCCTAAGGTTCTGATTTGTGTTATTAAAAAAAAATCCTACAGGAAGATAAAATTTTAATCTGTTAGCAATTATTATATCGTTATTAATGAAAGATCTGAGAGTAGCCTTCAATAGGATTACAGAAAAACATGAAGGTATCTGCCTAGCATATAAAGAGGAGATGGGGTGGTGCTGTTCGAATTCCTGATGGAGGGATCATTGAAGGGTGAACGTGAATTTCGTCTATGCCAGTATTACCTAGGGTGCTTCATGGTAGCTTCTAGGAATTTCCCCAGCATCAGGTAGAGACATGAAAGCAGCAAAGCATTTAATGTAACACTTAGAATTGGTTGAAGAGAGGTATCAGCACTCTCACTTGGTCAGGAGGATGGCTTCATCCCAGTGGTTCTCACGGTGTGACCCCCAGACCAACAGCATTAACACCACCTGAAAGTTTGTTAGGAATGCCAATTCTCAAGTACCACCAGACCTACTGAGTGAGACACTGGTCATGCAGCCCAGTCAGCTAGGTTTCAGTTAGCCCTCCAGGTGCTTCTGGAGCACACTCAAGATTGAGAACCGTGGCTCTATCCCATCTTTTCACAGAAAAATTGAGAACAGCTTAATGGAAAGCCAGGCTGACCTTTGTATTAATCCTAGCTCCAATGTTTACTGACTCTAGGACCATGTAAAATGCTAACTCTAACCTTTAAAACGGGAATAATAATCCCTACCTCACTGGAGCATTGAGATAATAGATGAAAATCGCCCTGCATTAAGCCAACACATGGCAGCTATCAAGAAACACCAGTTGTTGATAGTTGCTTCCTCTCTCCCGCCCACCTAGTTATAGATTGAACACCTTGGAACTCGTGCTGGAGAGAGGGGCCTCCCATCCCTAGAGAAAGTGTGAATCCTTTCCATGACAAAGTGGGGTGCTGCCTGAAACATTATCCCATGCGGGAGCACATTATTCATCATATTTTTATTTGTAAGAATTGCTATGGCCCACCAGCATCAGCACAGAGTGTATTCATTCTCTTGTAACATTTTTCTCCGTAGGAGGGACACTGGAAAGTCAAAAATTGTGAAGAAACACTTTTTTACATTTGTAAAAAAGCAGGCCATGTCCTCTCTGATGCTGAATCAGGATGTCAAGAGGTAAGTGCTATTAACATTGCAATTTAGGTACAGGAACTTCATAGCTAGATATCAATTCCACCATCAATTTGAAGTGAATTTCTCTTTCTCCTCTCTCTCTCTTGCTCGCTCTCTCCTCTCTTGCTCTCTCTCTTTCCCAACCCCCCTTCTTTCCTTTCCTCTTTTTTTTTCGTCCTGAGAAACATTGTCTTGCTATCTTCTACACGGGATTGCTTTTCTTTTGAGATTAAAAATGTAAATGGTCCTGATACAGCATCTGTACAGTGACTATCCTGTCTGTGTGATGCCCTGTCTCACACTTGATTTTCCTAGTTTTCTTTCTTTCTTTTTTTTTTTTTTTTTTTTTTGAGATGGAGTCTTGCTCTGTCACCCAGGCTGGAGTGCAGTGGCGCGATCTTGGCTCACTGAACTTCCATCTCCTAGGCTCAAGCAATTCTCGTGCCTCAGTCTCCCGAGTAGCTGGGACTACAAGTATGCGCCACTACGCCTGGCTAATTTTTGTATTTTTAGTAGAGACAGGATTTTGCCATGCTGGCCAGACTGGTCTCGAACTCCTGACCTCAAGTGAACTACCTCCTCGGCCTCCCAAAGTACTGGGATTACAGGCTTGAGCCACTGTGCCTGACCTATGGTTTTCCTAGTTTTCAAGTGAGATGTCAGAAAACAATTGTGTTCCTCTGAGTCAGAGTGAACTCTGCTGTATCAGTCTCAACAGTTTTCCAGACCTGGTTTTTATGCAACTATGCTTTAATTATTTTCTCTTCTAATCCAATTTTGTGTTGCAATTGAACAATGACCCATCCCCTTAGAATCTTCATTTTATTCGTTAATCAGTGTGTAAACACGTGAACTACTCTTCATACTCTAGCTGGATAATAGATGTGCCATAGCTAACATGTCACCATTTTATCTAATGATTACAATTTTGAATTATAGCTGATATCTGATTAATCTCTACCTGATCTGAAATATTGAAGACGGGGCAGGGGCGAGGGTGGGGGTATTTGTCTTACTGTGGCTTCCCAGGAAACTCAACGTGTTTTATTTTTGTTGAAAGGACAATTAACATTTTACACTGCAGAAGCAGAACCGATGTTCTCTTCAAACTTTTGTTCACTGCTTCCCTTTTCCAGCCAGCATTAGCAGTATTTAAAGTTTCTGAGTTCATAGCCAGTTCTCTAGCTTTGTGAGGAAATTTCCATTAATTTTATTATGCATCAGTCTATGAATATGGTTTTGAAAGTTTTCTCTTTCTTAGAACGTTGCTTCAATGCAATTTCTAAACAGTCTGCACTTGAAAAATCCATTTGTAAAATCAATCTTGATAATTTCAAAGCCAAAAAAAAGTGATTTGTTTTTCCTTCTGAGTCACTTTTTTGGGATTGGACAATATGAACAATTCCTTCAGCCTTGTCACCACCATGCTTTCATTTAAAAATGAAATAGCACCTAGTGTACAAAGGGTTAACTGATATACTCAGTTATCCTTCCCGCATTCATTGTGTGGACAAAGCCTTGAAGTAACAAGTCTGTTTTTCTGATTATTCTATGCCAGATCTATTTTTCCCTCCCTTTTCTTGAGCCTGTTCAGTTACTGGATTTTTTTGTTTGCTAAGCAGCCTATGATCTAAAAACTTCTAACGAAGAAGAAATACATTATCAGAAAGGTCAGATTGCCAGCCTCCCTCTCCCTGTCCTTCCAAGTGCAGGAGCAGTCTAACATCCCTGCTCCTATCCTGGAGGGATGCCTGAAGGAGCTGTGTGGAGCTGTCAGGTACTCACAGAGAGAAGACTGAGAATAGAGGTGAAAGAGAGTGAGTTCAGAGCAGATCCTAGATGGCTGGATGTGGGAGCTCCTGTGCTTCCCACCTCAGTTAATGATATGTTTGAACTAACATAGCTGATTTCTAAATTAAGGTTTTCTTTAATTTACCGCAAGACCAAAATCTTTTCCAAGAAATTTATGAGAAATCACGTTATGACTGATCAAAAGCTGGCAAGTATTGGCATAGCATAAAATGAAGAGTGTTTTAAAACTGGTGAATAAATTAAAATAGATAAAAATCATGTGATCATAATATTGGAAAAAAAAGAACTAAAATAGCTCAGTTTAAATATAGAGGACTAATGAATGTATGTCTTTCATACTGTATGATTTCTGATGAGATCGGGCACGTTCAGGGTGGTATGGCCGTAGACTGTACTGCATGATTTCAAAGAATAGAGCCACCCTTCATTGTTCCCAGGGTTAAGACATAGACCTGCGTGTTTGTCATTTTTGTCTGAGTGCCAAAGCTTACTTTCCTCCCCTCTAAAAGGCGAGCCAGTTAATTTAGTAATAATCTTTACAAAAAAAAAAAAGAAAAAATACATATATTGGCCATTTTCTATTTGGAAGCATTATGCTCCAAACAAGACCATCCTGGACTATGCCAGAATTGGGTTTCAGGCCCAGCTGATCCACTAGTTTGACTTTATCCAAGTCCCTAATCTCAATAAATCTCAGTGGGATAACATGAAATAATCAATATGAAAGTTGGAAAAATCTATAATATTATCTAGATATATATTCGCTTTGTTCATGTTCTCTTTCCCCTCTGTTGAATTCTGAAATCTCTATCTGCATTGTCCTTCTCTGATTCTCAGAACAGCCCCATAAATACTATTATTATCCTCATTGTATAGATGAAAAAACTAAGGTATTAAACAAGGTTGCACAGTAGTGGAGCCAGAATTCAAACCCACGCATCCTGACCCTAGAGCCAACACTTAATTTCTACCCTCCTGTCAGGGCCATTTATATGAAATTCTGTAAGTAAGGGAGGGGGGAGAGAGGGGGGAGAGAGAGAAAGAGAGAGAGAGACAGAGACAGAGACAGAGAAAGAGAGAGAGAGAGAGAGAGAGAGGCAGAGATCTCGAATGAGTACCCTTTATTTTCATTTACTTTTAAGGTTTCACATTTTAAGTAAATTAAAAATTTTAGATTTTAAGATAATAAATCAAATAAATGTAGAAGTGGCTGTAGTTAATGGTGTTACCAGATAGAAGAAATATAAAAATATCAAGACAAAAATTCAAGGAGTTTTAAAGGAGTAAGAGAAGACAGTCATGTAGGTGGTAAAAGAGTATGCAAAAATATCTCTTGGTATTTAACTAAATCAGATTGTGTCCTTAATTTCCCTTTGATTCTTTTTAAGGGATGGGAGAGACATGGTGGATTCTGTTACAAAATTGACACAGTCCTTCGAAGCTTTGACCAAGCTTCCAGTGGTTATTACTGTCCTCCTGCACTTGTAACCATTACAAACAGGTAAATTAAATTTTTTTTTAACAGAAACAAGACGGCTTTGACATGAGGGCTCTTGGAATGATAAAATCTAGCTACAATCATAACTCGTCAAAATCTAAATCGTGCTATACATCAAAGTACAAAATTATTTAAATTATTTATTGAGATGAATTTAAATTATACAGTGTTATTCCAGAATTGGTTTTTGAGTAATCAATAATAAAATTTAAGGTGACCTTTACTTTCCATAAAGATTTATTAATTATCCAGCTTTTCTAATATATTCAGATATTTTTAGATTTTATCTTCTAACTGCTTATACTGGAAAATAAACACATTATTTATTTATTTTTTATTTTATTTCATTTTTTTGAGGCAGAATCTTGCTCTGTTGCCCAGGCTGGAGTGCAGTGATGCAATCTCAGCTCACTGCAACCTCCACTTCCTGTGTTCAAGCATTTCTCCTGCCTCAGCCCCATGAGTAGCTGGGATTACAGGCACCCGCCACCACGCCCTGCTAATTTTTGTATTTTTAGTAGAGACAGGGTTTCACCATGTTGGCCAGGCTGGTCTGAACTCCTGACCTCAAGTGCCTCAGCCTCCCAAAATGCCGGGATTACAGGTATAAGCCACCGTGCTCAGCCAAAACACATTACTTAACAAGTATTTTTTTAATGTAATGTATGTGAGTTGTATCAGGGTGTTTTTAGCAGAAAAGAAACTATAATATGTAGCGGATATTCAAATCCCTCACCATCACTTCTTCTATTTTATTTAGATTGAGACTTCTCTGTGCACATATGCCTTCCTGATGCTGGCACAGAGACTGTGCCCTTTTTACACTCCATACAATCTGCAGCATGCTACCAATGCATAATACCTGTAGGGGATAAAAGTACCAAGAGCAAAGGTGACCTCATATCACTATCGATGCCAGGAGGACAGTGGGGGCTGGAACACCTGGGAGACCCATTCCTCCTGGGGAAGACAGAAGCAGGGTAGAACTCCAGTGGTGCCACAAGAAACTACACCTGCAAAGCAAGTCACTTGCATATTTGCCTGGGCCATTGCCTTTAAAAATATTCACTGAATACCAGCAAATAGGACAACTGGTTTTACCTAGAGACCCTTCCCGTGTAAGTCTAATTTGTAGAGGAATTCCTGTATAATGTCTCTGCTCCTCCCACATTGGAAGTCAACATCCAAAGCTGCCAGTATGTCCTTCCTTCTCTTACCCTCTTACTTTCACTTGTGTTCCAAACAATGCACAGGCATGCATACACACACACACACACACACACACACACACACTCTCAAATGGATTGATAGCATTTGGCAGACTAAATCACCTGGCGAAACATTTTACTTTCAGGAGATCCTCCCATGGAAATATAGCACTACCTTTGATGTATTTCAGCATTGTTTTTAGTTTTACCTTTCTCCCGACAGGTTTGGCTAACAGGCAGAAGAAACCTTTATCAATTTATTAACTCACCCAAAAGGTTCTAAGAGCACCCTGGGTTGGAGTCCCCCAGTCAGTGAGTCAACATTGGACTTTACAGGAGCCTGACCAATGAAGCTATATGCTCTTTTGTTAATTACAATTTCATTCTGTTTTTTTACCAAAGAAAATAAGTCTAATTGTTTCACCTGGTTTTTTTGTCTTATTCTTTTTTTTGTTTGTTTAATGTTCATTGAGTGCCTGCCACATACCTGGCACTGTGTTAATTATTTTTCATATGTTACCTGACCACACAAAAAATTAATAGCCAAGAGTTTATTAGAAAATTATTTTTTGAATACCTATTTTGTGAGAGGTCCTATATTAAACACTGACATGCTACACACAAGAAATAAAAGGCATGCTATTATTGTCCAGTGCTTTCTGAAACCCAGCAGCTGAAGAGATAGAACATAGACACAAGAAATAAGTGAAGAAGGTAGAATAGCACAATAAATGGATAAACTCACAGTGACATTGCAGATAACCCATAGCACCAAAGTGACCCAAGCTAAGGCAGAAATCTGTTAGAACAAATGCTTCACATTCTATGAACCCTTTGGGGACCTCATACAAATGACAGAAAGTATCTGAGAAAAAAAATCTGTTTCATTTTCCCCAAAACTGGATACAAGACTATGTTGTGAATACTTTTAAATGTTTTCTCTGGTAAACTGTAGTCAGTAGCCAGCGCTCATGCCTGGTCCAGCTCTAAAGCAGAACTATGGCATAGAAAGTCTGTTTTTATCCCAGTCTTGGCCTCCTAGGCCTGTCCAGATTGCCCTGTGCTGGCGTGCTGCCTGGTCACCAGTCAAGCCCTGAGGGAATACAGATGAACAGGGATGTGTCATCTGTCCAAGTCAGTTAACAGATACTTATGCTACCCCTAAACATGTCTACATTCAAAGCAGCGACTCCAACACAGGACTCACGAGTTGAAGAAAGGAAGGGCCAGTGCTCTTGATTTTTAATCTTTCAGACCCCATCAGGGAAGAAACAAGGGTCCACACTGTACTACTTTTGATTCACAATACACATTGGAATTTTTGCAAACAGCATCTTTTGTCTGAGAAAGTTTGGCAGTAGACAGAAAGTCTCTCAGATCCAGGAGTGTCCACTAACGGCCATGGTAATCATTTTCTTCCATTACTGATTTCCTGTTTGAGTTAAGACACTCCTGTCACTCTTCAGTACCCAAGCTTGTAGTTGCTAATTGATTTTCCACTCTTCTGCACAATGGAATGACAGGTTTGATGGGCACAATTAGAACCACCTGCTACAAATTACTTATTTCTTTTGTGATCAGGCAACTGCTCCTGGTCTAAGACTTTTAACACTTTGTGGAATAGAGAGGGGAAGAAAAACAGATCCTTATTGTTGAGTAACAAATTTGTATTTGCTTGCTGATTGTTACAAAATCTTTTCAGGCCTGGCCACTTTGCTTCCAGACAAAGCATGAATGCAGAAGTTGAGTTCCAAAATTATAACACATAATTGGCTAAATCCATGTATGTCTAAATTTTGAATCAATCAGCCATGGAATATTGGTACAAAATAATCCAAATGGCATTCAATTTTGTGAATTTTGCCAAAAGTGAGAAATTCTGCAATATCTCATTTTCTCCTAAGTTTATTTTACTTTCATTTATTTTTGAGGCAGTGTCTCACTCTGTTGCCCAGGCTGGAGTGTAGTGGTGCCTTCATGACTCACTGCAGCTTTGACCTCCTGGGCTCAAGTAATCCTCCTGCCTCAGCCCCCCAAGTAGTTGGGACTACAGGCGTGTACCACCATGCCTGGCTAATTTTTTAAATTTTTTTGTAGAGACAGATTCTTGCCATGTGGCCATGGCTGGTCTTGAACTCCTGGGCTCAAGAAATCCTCCTGCCTTAGCCTCTCAGAGTGCTGGGATTATAGGCGTGAGCCACTGTGCCTCTCCTAAGCTTAAATGTGCATTATTTTAAAGCATTTTTACAGCTCTACCATTTTCCTGCAACTGTCATATCTCCCCAAAACACTTTTGCAGTTAATATTTTTTATTGTGGTAAAATATACATAACACACACATAAACATAAAATTCACCATGTTAGTCATTTTTAAGTGTGCAGTTCAGTGGTGTTAACTGCATTCACATTGTTGTTCACCACTACCATCATCCATCTCCAGAACTCTTTTCATCTTCCCAAACCGAAACTCTGTACCCGTTAAACAATAGCTGCCTATTCTCCCCTCCTCCCAGACCCTGGCAACTACTATTCTATTTTCTGTCTCTGTGAGTTTAACTATCTAGGTGTCTCATGTAAGTGTAATTATGTTTTTTCTGTATCTGCTTTATTTCACTTAGCATGTTGTAGTGTCAGCATTTCCTTTCTGTTTAAGGCTAATTAATATTCCATTGTATGTATATACACATACTGTTTAGTCATCCATTAATGGATATTTGGGTTGCTCCCACCATTTGGCTATTGTGACTAATGCTGCTATGAACATGAATGTACAAATACCCTTTGAGTCCCTGCTTTCAATTCTTTGGCGTGTATGCCTATAAGTGAAATTGCTGGATCATATGATAATTTAATTTTAAATTTTTTGAGGAACTGCCATACTCTTTTCCATAATGGCTGCACCATTTTCCATTCCCACCGGTAGTGCATAAGGGTTCCAGTTTCTCCACATCCTAGCCAATGCTTACTATTTTCTGGTTGTTTTGTTTTGATAATAGCCATCCTACTGGGTGTGCAGTGGTATTTCGCTGTGGTTTTGATCTGCATTTCGCTAGTGATTGATGCTGTTGAACATCTTTTCATGTTCACGTGCTTATTGGCTAGCTATATATCTTCTTTGGAGAAATGTCTATTCAAGTCCTTTGCCCATTTTTTAGTTGGGATGTTTGTCTTTTCTATTGTTTAGTTATAGGAATTTTCAATATATTCTGGATATTAATCCCTTATCTGATGTATAACTTGCAAATACTTTCTCCCATTTTGTGGGTTGCCTTTTCATTCTGTTGATAGTGTCCTTTGATGCACAAAGTTTTTAATTTTGATGAAGTCCAATTTATTCACTTCTTATTTTGTTGCCTGTGCTTTTGGTATCATATACAAGAAATCATTGCCAAATACAATGTTATGAAGCCTTTTTCCTATGTTTCCTTTTAAGAGTTTTATAGTTTTAGCTCTTATGTTTAGATCTTTAATCTACTTTGAGTTCGTTTTTGTGCATAGTATAAGGTAAGGGTCTGACTTCATTCTGTTGCAAGTGGATGTCTAGTTTTCCCAACACAGTTTATTGAGAAGACTGTCCTTTCTGCACTGAGCAGTCTTGGCACCATTCTTGAGAATCATTTGACATATATGCAAGGGTTTATTCCTGGTCTATTCCACTGGCCTATGTGTTAGTCTTTATGCTAGTACCACACTGGTTTTTTGTTTCATTTTGTTTTTGAGACAGGGTCTCACTCTATCACCCAGGCTGGAGTACAGTGGCTCCATCATAGCTCACTGGAGCCTTGACCTCCTGGGCTCAAGCCATCCTCCCGCCTTGACCTCCCTAGTAGCTGGGACTACAGGCATCTACCGCCACCACTCACAGCAAATGTTTTTTATGTTTTGTAGCAACAGGATCTCCCTATGTTGCCCAGGCTGGTCTTGAGCTCCTGGGCTCAAGCAAGCTGCCTGCCTCAGTCTCCCAGAGTGCTGAGATTATAGGCATGAGCCAATATGCCCAGCCCACACTGTCTTGATTACTGTAGCTTTGTAGTAAGTTTGGAAATCAAGAAGTGTCAGACCTCTAACTTGGTTTCTTTTCACAATTATATTGGCTATTCAGGGTTCCTTGAATTTCCATATGGATTTTAGGATGAACTTTTCTATCTTTGAAAAAGATATCATTGGGATTTTGATAGGGATTGCATTGAATATATAGATCATTTTGGGTAGTATAAGCATCTTAACAATATTAAGTCTTCCAAGCCATGAACACGGGATTTATTTCCATTTCCTTGTGGCTTCTTTAATTTCCTTCACCATTTTGCAGTTTTCAGTATACAAGTCTTTCTCGTTTGTGTAGTTTATTCCTATGTATTTGGGGGGCACTATTGTAAGTGGAGTTATTTTCTTAACTTCCTTCTGGCCAAACTCCACATCGCTCTTCCTGTCGATGACCTGCCGGCCTCTGCCGGTGCCTGTCGGTGTGCTCTTGTACCGGTGTGTTCCTCTGGATGTCCAGCCGCTTGTCTCTCTTCCCACTAGGGTCTCGGGGGGTTTTATAGGCAGAGGATGGGGGCGTGGCGAGCCAGGGTGGTCTTGGGAAATGCAACATTTGGGCACGAAAACAGAAATGCTTGTCTTCACCTAGGTCTGGGGGCACAGGCCGGGGGTGGAGCCCTAACGAGGAACCCTGCCCTTCTCCTCCCAGCACTTCCCTGACCCCGTATTACTTACTCTGCCTTGGAGGAGATAGAGAAAAGCAGATCGTATATTATTGAGAGCATGAACCAACTGAAGTGTAAGGAAAATTACAACAGCATGTAGGCAATATTTAGTCTTCTATACATTTCTTTTGAAGCACATTTATATAAGGTTCTGCCAGTATGATCTGGATTAAAAAAAGAACTTTTCCTGTTTTGAATGTGTGCTATTTAGGTTATTAATAGAGTATCTGCAGAAAATATTTACTAAAGCATGATGAAAATCCATTTCCCCTGCAAAGATGAGTACCATAAATGCCTAAGATCTCTAAATGTTGCTAATAATATCTGTAAAGCACTTAAAATTTTTCCTTCTTTTTATTCTTCTCTCTTTTTATCTCCTATTTCCTTTGAGACTCCTCTATTCATAAATGACCCCATTGCTTTTGCTTCCCTTAGCAAGTTAAGGATGCACAGTAATGAAAAAAACCACCAAAATTGAATAAAAAGGTCTAATTTGCTTTCTCCTTAGGTTTGGCTTCAGCCTTTGCTTTCCCACTGACTCAGCAGGTCTGCCCGGAAGTCACCACTGTTTCAAATGTGTTTCTTCTAACTTTATATGTTCTAAAAATAGCTTTCTCAAGATAGTTTCAACTTAACTGAAAGGTTCAATGCTAGTTAAGTTTTAATAGTCATGATTTTCTTGGTAGGTGTGCATGTGGAAGCATGTATGCAAGTTTTCTAGATTCTGCTTTTGACGCATTCATACTGGAAAGGGGGCACTGCCACCAATCATTAAACAGTAATTCATTCAGCTGTTTGGGAAGTACATTAGTGGATGTAGAGCTTTAGATTAGTTCCTGGGCTTTCACATTTTTCTTCAGTGAACATGCAGATTTAAACACATTTGAATAAGCTGAGACCTACCTGTGCCTATGAACACACTGATTTGGGAGACATAAAATTGCTACTTTAATTTCTGTTTCTTTCTCCCCAGGCAAGTATGGTAGGTGGGTGCATGTGAACTCTGTATTAGTAAATGCTCATTCAGAAAAGCATAGTATCTTTCCTCCTCCCTCCTGCCCACCCTTACCCCGTACATATTGTGGCATGGTTTGTGTGGTGTGTGGCCTAATTACAAAATAGGCCACATCGTACTCCAAGAAATGCATTGCTGGTCATATGAACTTTACCACCTATGCTTTGAAATTGGAGCTGGACTTTATTCCGTGGAAGAATTAAGCCCCATATGCAAGAGTCAGATTCTCCTCACTCATGTATTTCTGGGAATTGCACTGACATTCAGCATTTATTAGTAATGTTCAGGGTCTTTGGGTGTTTTCCTGCTCCATGTTCTAAAGAATTAATGAGAAACGCTTACTCTGGGGCCATTCTGTGCACTTCATTATGCTTTAATGACTTTTTTTATTGCCCAGAAACTTAATATAATCACTTCTTTTTTCCCCTTTTAAGGTTTGAACAGGCTTTTATTACCAGTTTGATCAGTAGTGTGGTAAAAATGAAGGACAGTTATTTTTGGATAGCTCTTCAAGACCAAAATGATACAGGAGAATACACTTGGAAGCCAGCAGGGCGGAAACCCGAGCCGGTGCAGTACACACACTGGAACGCACACCAGCCCAGTGAGTAGAGTGAGCTGCATCGCCAACCCTCCCTCACCTCTGGCTCCTGTTTTCTTTACTCCAAATTCCTTCTACCCCTTGGTCCACCTCCTTTGATTCTTTCTTAATGTTTTCTTAATGCCTAAATCAACTACAAGGATCAGCACAGGTTAACAGGGGGTGATATATGGCTGATCTTTGTTTTTATTTATTTATTTATTTACTTATTTATTTGTTTGTTTGTTTTGAGACAAGGTCTCGCTCTGTCACCCAGCCTAAACTGCAGTGGTGCAATCTCAGCTCACTGCAGCCTTGACCTCCCGGGCTCAAGAGATCCTCCCACCTCAGCCTCCCCAGTAGCTGGGAGCACAGGCATGCGCCACCACACCCAGCTAATTTTTGTATTTTCTGTAGAGACAGACTGGTATTGAACTCTTGGGCTCAAGCAATCCGCCCACCTTGGCCTCCCAAAGTGCTGGGTTTATAGACGTGAGCCAAATTGCCTGGCCCGATGGTCGATTTTAAAACTATAATCCATATGAGTCATTTGACATATTAAAGGTATAAATTCATTGCTCAAGACCACCACTGCCTTTATTAGCAGCAAGTCCAGTTTCTCCCTCCTAAAGTCTTTCTCCCCACCTGCAACCCCCCTACCCCACTACCTAAGAATCTCAAGCGCTTGCTCAGTTCAGAATGGTCAGTTAAACTTCAAAGTACAGTGGCTGGGCACATATGGGTACATCCAGTCAGTTCACAGTCACTGTCTGGGGTACTTTAACCAGGATTCCAGCTCTACTAGTTCATCCTCAGGTGTTCAGCTCTGAATCCCAAGGCATGAAACTGTGCCAGGTTGGTCAGTACCAGAGAAACTGATGGCTTCCGCCACAGCCTACACTAGAACCTGTCTCTGTGGAACAAACTTCAGGCTCTTGTATTAAGCTGAGGTCGACAGCCTAGACCCAACAGCTCCTATATTTCAGAGTGAGTTCTTGCTTGCCTGGATCTCCATCAGGGCTATGCCAGAGAAAACAGCAAAGAGTTACCAAGTTTGTATCTAGAGGAAATGGCTTAGGGGCCCCAGGCTCTTCCCTCCCTGAAGAGGGAAGAGACACAGAGGTAGAAAATGTTTTAAAAATATTAACAAACATGGAGGAGAGGTTGAGTCACTGGAATGATAAAAGGAAAGGTTAGAATGAATGGGAAGAGGCAGTATTTGAAGAGATAATGCTTGAATAGCTAGTGTAACAAATAAAAACAGTAAACATTTATACAGTAAACATTTATTAGAATATGCCTCATATTTTATATAGGAGATTTAAAAACCACATTCAATTTCTGTAATGCTTATTATTGAGACTTCCTACTTCCTTCCAAGTGCTACTTGAGTTGTATCCCACAAGATTTAGTAGAGTTTCATAATTTTTCAATTGAGAATACATTCTAATTTCCAATATGAATATGATTTCAACCCATAAATTAGTTAGAAGATTTTTTTAATTTCCCAAAATACAGGTGTTTCTAGTTCCTTTTGTTGTCAATACCTAATTTAATTGCACTGTGGTCAAGAAACACTGTTTGGTGCCTGTCCTTTCAAATACAGAGTTGGTATTATGGCCTTGCATGTGATCATTTTTTTTAATATATCCCATATGTACTTGAAAACATTGCATATTCTGCTTTTGCTACATGAAATGCTTCATATCTGTCAACTGATTATGTTAAATGTGCTGTTCAGATCATCTATAGCCTGAATATTTTTTGCCCACATGATCAGTCAATTACTGGGAGTGTTAAATATCTCCCGCTATGATGGTGGATGTATAAACTTCTCCCTGTAGTTTTGTCGAGTTTTTATATTACATACTTTTTAGGCTGTTTTATTAGCAACATACAAGTTTAGAATCATGATATCCTACCTGTGGTGTCAAAATCGGTATAGTATCCTGAGTGATCCTCTTGTTCTCTCAAAATTATTTTCTCCATAGAGTTAATTTGTTCATGAATGTAGCTACAGTAACTTTTTAAAAATTAGTATTGGCCTAGTACTTTTTTTTATTTTTTCTAAGTTTGAATATTTTTGTGTTCTTAGAGTTAATGTATCACTTATAAACAGCATATAACTAAATTTTTAAAATCTTATTCACACATTTGTTGTCCTTAACTGCAGAGTTTGGTTTACTTATATTTTTTGTGATTATGTATAGAGTTGGATTCATTTTTTCCATTTCATTATGTCCTTTCCATTTATCCTGCACTTTTTAGTCATGTTTTCTCTTCTTTCTTGCCATCTTTTGAATTTATCTTTTTCTTCTTTTCTCATTTCATTCTTTCCCCTTTACTTATCTGGAAATTGTATTATCTAAATCTATGTTTTTATATGTTACACTAGCTATTCAACATGCATTCTTAACAAAATCAACAATACCATCTTTGCTCTCATCTTTAAAAGGATTATAATTTGCTGTTGCTGCCTAGTTTTGAAAATTCTGAACTGTTTCATTTCTGTTAGCCATGATTTTGTTGTTGCTATCTTTGCAGTGAATATTTCTTTAGGTGTATTCATATGCTAACTATATTTATTTCATTTCTAGAAAGACTATTTCTGTTTTAAATTTGGTTTGTGGCTCTTTGTAGTCACTTGTTTCCTACTCATATTTTAAAGATTCTCTTTTATTTCCTTAAATATATCCAAGTTATTTTGTATTTGGTTTCTAACAATCTCATACCTGAAGTTTTATGGGTCTGTTTCTGGATCTCATTTCTTTCACTTTGTGGGTTTTGCCTGGAACTACTGATTTTTCTATGTACTTTATTTATGGGAGTTCTGTAACCCCTAGGTTGAAGTTGGGCTCCTCCAATGAAAATTAGCATTTGTTTCCATCACTCAGTTTGAGGCACTACCAACTAAGGAACACTTTAAAAGCTCTGACTGAGGTTTTCTTGAACACATAGGTAGCATGAGTTCGATGACTAACCTGCATGAAGTTTGAGTTGTGGTTATAAGTTCTTTAGAAAGTTATTTCTTTTACTATTATTCACTGCCAAGATTGACAGAGACAAGTTTCCTTACAAACAGCTGAGTGAGTATGTTCTCATGTATGCTTCCCAAAAGTGGCCATTTGGGATTCTATTTTATGCAGGTTTCTTCTATTAGACTTTTCATTTTGTATATCTGTTAGGCTTCATCTCCTTTCCCTCAAAATCTCCATGCAACTATCAAAGCAGATGCTCAAGCTGTCCAGAATTAGAAAGAAACCTTTAGGGTAAATCCCGCTAGGAAGGTAGTTTGGCTACCATGGTTCATACTTTTATTTCATTTGCGAGCTCTATAGATTTGTTTATTTTATGCCAACTCAGCCGTACATTTATAAAGATGTTTTCAAAATGTTTTATCTAGCATTTCAACTAGTTTGACTGGAAGAATCTTTCAGGGTACCTAATCTGCTGGTTATTTCTCATAGCACCATTTATTTTAACACATGAGATTTTTAGGATGGAGAAGAGATAAACACATGTATTCAGTCTATTGCTCAATCTTTGAGATGTCTCCCTCTGTGTTTTTTAAAAAAAATTTTCTTTCTATAACCCTACTGCATAATTAAAGCCATTCATTTAATGAGCTTTTATAGGGCGTTTGTATGACAAGGGAGATTTAAAAATTACCTAACGTGCATGCCTTCATGTTGCTATAATCTGGGAGTGGTGATAGCAAATACAATAAATAACTCGTATATAGAGTCTTAGTCATTCCTGCTGCTATAACAAAATATCACATATTGGATAATTTATAAATAACACAAATTTATTTCTCACAGTTCTAGAGGCTGGGAAGTCCAAGATTAAGGTGCTAGCAGATTCAGTGTCTGCTGAAGGCCTTCTTGCAGCGCCCTCACATGGTGGAAGGGCAAAACAGCAAAACGAGAGTAGGACACCCCCTCAGCCTCTTTTATAAAAGCACTAATCCCATTCATGGGATGGAGCACTCATGACTTTATTACTTCCCAGAAGGCCCTGCCTCTTAATACTATCACATATGAATTTTGGAGGGATATATTACGTTCAAACCATGGCAACAGGAAAATATGTGGTGAGTGCTGTAAGAAGTATAAAATAAAGTATTCTAACAGTTAAATGAAGGGAGGATTTATTGAAGTTACCATAAAAGTTCAAGAGGAAGTGGCCTTTCACCTGGGATTGAAAATGTCTGAAATATAGTAGGATTTAGTGGTTAAAGAAGTAAAAAGAATTTTCTCAGCAGAAGCAAATATATGGGGCAACTCTGAGAAATTTTAGGAGCACTGTGTAATTAGAGATTAAGATATATGCAAAAGAGTTGTAAAAGATAAGGCCAGAGTAAGATATTGAAACCACAGCCCAATATTACAAGCTAAAGAGTTTTCACTTCTTATCTAGGTATAGGAAGCCACTAGAGGTTTTGGATCAAAAAATATTAAGATCAGAAGTGTTCTTCATTGAGGGTGTTAAGTAAGGTGATATAAATAGATATAAGAGACTGCACTGCAGGATAACATATGCATAAAGAGTACCTACCCGCTATTGAGTTGAACTAAAGTTCAAATTCCAGCATTATGATCTCAGAGAAATTACTTAATCTCTCCATATCTCAGTTTCCTCTTATTTAAAATAAGGACAGTAATAGTATCTACCTTACAGGATTGTTGTGAGGATTAAAAGAAATATTACATAGTTGCTACTGCATTGTAAATAATTAATAAATATTAGCCTTTCTTATTGCAGAGAAATAATTTGCAGAATTTTACCTAAAGCTACAGACAGTGACATTGCTAATCTATTAGGGTTCCTCACCCATACATTCTAAGATGCAGGACCTATTCTGTGCTGGATCAGTCACCAATGTGAGCACCCTGGGAAACCACAGAGCTTTAAAGGAAGGTATGACTGTGGCCTACACACACATTTCCCCAACACTTATGAGCTAGTGTTAAATGTTTTTTTAAAAATTCCTTTAGACCTCCTGAAATTAGAAGAAAGAAAAA